GGGTTGCTTCCACTTTCTGCTTATTGTGAATAATGCTTCTATGAACATGAATGTTAAAAATATCACTTTAAAAAAATCACTTCTTGGGCCGGCGTTTTGGCACAATGGGTTAAACCACCACCTGCAATTCCAGCATCCCATATGGGCGCCAATCAGAGTTCCTGCTGTTCCATTTCCAACTTAGTTCCCTGCTAATGCACTTGGGAAAGCAGCAGAGGCCTCTGCACCCATGTGGGAGACTCAGATGAAGCTCCTGTCTCGTGGCTTTGGCCTGGTACAGCCCTGGCTGTTGCGGCCATTTGGGGAGTGAACCAGTGGATGGAAGATACACCCTCTCTCTCTCTTTCTCTCTCTCTCTCTGTGTATGTATATCTCTATAACTCTACCTTTCAAATAAAATAAATTAAAAAATTAGTTTTGATACCTTTATTCATTTCTTTGGGTATATACACCCAAGAAGAATTGCTGAATCATATGGTAATTCTATTTTGAACTTTTTGATTAATGATGATATTATTGTCTATTATGGCATCACTTTTTTTAAGAAATTTTTTTTTTTTTTTGAAAGGCAGAGTTACAGAGAGCAGAGGCAGAGAGAAAGAGAGAGAGGTCTTCTATCCATTGGGTCACTCCCCAAGTGGCCGCAACTGTTAGAGCTGGGTCGATCCAAAGCCAGGAGCCACGAGCTTCTTCGGAGTCTCCTACACGATGCAGGGGCCCAAGGACTTTCCCAGGCTATAGCAGGGGGGTGGAAAGGAAGTGGAGCAGCCAGGATGCCAGCCCTGCAGGCAGCGGCTTTCCCAGCTTTCCCACAGTGCCGGGCCCTTATAATGGCATAACTTTACATTCCCACCATCAAGGGTTCCACTTTCTTTACATCTTTATTAACACTTGTTATTTTCTGTCCTTAGTTTTTTGTTTGTTTTTTGCACTAGCCATCCTAGTGAGTATGAGATGATAGTGTCATTTTGATATTCATTTCCCAAATAATTAGAGCATCTTTTCAGGTGCTAATTGTCCATTTGTATATTTTCTTTGGATAAAGGCCTGTTCAAACCCATTACCCTCTTCTAAATTGAGTTTTTTAACTTTTTTATTTGGATTTGAGAGTTCTTTATATTTTGGATATCAATCAAGGTTCAATATATGATTTAAAATATTTTCTTCCATGATGTTGATAATGTCTCGATGCACAAAAGTTTTTAGTTTTAATGCAATCCAAGGTATATATATCTTTCTTAGTATTTTTGATCATTGCCATTCTAGGAAGGCAATGAAGATAGTCAGCTCCCATTTAGATGGCTCATCTGTGCTGCTTGATTAAGTATTGAGTCATTGTGCAGTATGGACAGCTGTTAATCTGCTGTTACATATGATCATAAAGGATGCTCAAGAATTACATTGATTAGCCTAGAGTAATAGAAAGCTGGCTAGCAAAATAGAGTCTTTTTGTAATAGCAACAAATATTTGTTGCATATTTACTAAGTTTAGTGCACCATTCAGGGCTGTGGTCTAGCAAATATACTTACTTGCCAAGACCTGAATTCTTAGAAATAGCCATTATGGGGCTGGTGCTGTGGCTCACTTGGTTAATCCTCCGCCTGTGGTGCCGGCATCCCATATGGGTGCCGGATTCTGTCCCAGTTGCTCTTCTTCCAGTCCAGCTCTCTGCTGTGGCCTGGGAGGGCAGTGGGGGATGGCCCAAGTGCTTGGGTCCCTGCACCCGCATGGGAGACCAGGAAGAAGCACCTGGCTCCTGGCTTCGGATTGGCGCAGCGCCGGCTTTTACGGCCACTTGGGGAGTGAACCAACAGAAGGAAGACCTTTCTCTGTGTGTCTCTCTCTCTAACACTACCTGTCCAAAGAAAGAAAGAAAGAAAGAGAGAGAGAGAGAGAGGGAGAGAGAGAGAAAGAGCGAGCCATTTATGCATGCTTTCTCCATGGAGCATCACAAATGCATGGAACCACTTATACTTTTCAAAACTGTGATATTATCAGAGAAGCCTTAGGCTAAGTGTGAACGAACATGTTTGAATATCTTTTTAACCTCGAAGTCAGATTCTCGAAGCCTGAATGTACATTTTTTCTTAATGTGCTTTTCTCAAAGGTAGATATCATCTTTGCTTTACCTCATAATCTTCCTACATTGTAGTTTGACATTTCAGTTAGTTAAAAGGATACTTAAAGACTGTTTTGGCTTTTGAAATTTACTGCTACATTATTATTATTATTATTATTTAGTTTAACTCTTGTATTCAGATCCTTTAACTGCCCTTACTGGATGGTTTTAGGAGAAAGTACTTACTTTGTAAACTGAAAAGTACCTATGAAATTATTCTAGCCTTTTCAATGCTGATTAAATGTCAAAACAATATGCTAGGGGCCAGTGCTGTGGTGTAGCGGATAAAGCCGCCTGCAGTGCCAGGATTCCATATGGGCGCTGGTTTGAGTCCCGGCTGCTCCACTTCCTGTCCGGCTCTCTGCTATGGCCTGGGAAAGCAGTAGAGGATGATCCAAGTCCTTGGACCCCTGCACCCACGTGGGAGACCTGGAAGAAGCTCCTGGCTCCTGGCTTCAGACTGGCGCTACTCCAGCTGTCGCAGCTATCTTGGGAGTGAACCATCAGATGGAAGACTTCTCTCTTTCTCTGCCTCTCCTCTCTCTGTATAACTCTAAGATGCAGGGTACAGGGGTCCAAGGACTTGGGCCATCTTCCACTGCTTTCCCAGGCCACAGCAGAGAGCTGGATTGGAAGTGGAGCAGCTGGGTCTCGAACCCGTGCCCATGTGGAATGGCAGCACTTCAGGCTAGGGCATTAACCTGCTGTGCCACAGTGCTGGCCCCAGTAAATAAATCTTTAAAAAAAAAAATGGTATACTATTCAACAACTTAACAACTTCATGGCAACTGGGCTTTCTCATTTAATATCAATACCAAGTCAGGAAGTTGTTACTGGGTTTCTTTTATTCAAAGATGCAAATTTCATATCTGCAATAAGAATGCATTTTATAATTGTTGGTGTTATAGTTTAATTGCTAGGGTTTTTCCCTTTAGTGGCACATAAAATAACGGTTTATTTTACTAATACATGCAGTCTTGGATTCAGTAAAGCACAGTATAAATACTATTGTTGTTGTACTGGTTTTCCAGATGAAGAAATTGAAACTTTGAAGACTAAATGATGTGTCCAGAGTCCCAAAGCTGGTGCGTGGTCAAGCTGGAAGAAAGCTTGTGCTATCAAAGGCTGATTTTATTGCCCACTATACTAATTCTCAGCATTAAAGTTCTCAAACTTTAATGTTACACTAATTGCCTGGGGAAATAAGTTGACAGACATCTTCCAGACAGCTACATTCGTTAGTCTGAGGCAGGGCTCAGGCGTATTCATTTTGACAGTCCCTCGTTCCTGCATTTGTTAAGAAGGGTGAAGGGTGATGCTTTGAGAAGCACTGCAGTATAACTTTAAATATCAGTGCAGCCTCTGGCTTACTGACTGAAGCTCTGGTTGACACGTTGCCATCAGCAGCAATGTCCTTCAGTGACTGTTAGTGATAGGGATGAAGTACGTGCTGGTAGCCCCCTGTAAGGACTCTGGAAGACATCACTAATAATTCGCAAATGCTGCCCACAGTCGTTTCCAATACTGCAACTTTCAGTCAAACACAGATGAAGCCTATTTGCCTTATCTTGCCCTTGGGCCTTATGACCATATTTGTGAATTTAAGAGAAACTTCCATCTTTTCCCTACAGTTGACTCTGTAGGTATCACAGAGCACTGCCTTTGCAGTGTTAGAATGCAGTTGTCTAGGTCGTGAGCTGTTTGTTGAGGGCAGAGCTCCTTTGTCTTTGGGATAGAATTCTTTGAGGTCGCTTTTATTGAGGTGTTTTCTGTGACGTCATTACTGCTGCCTCCTAGTAAATGGCCCACATGATTTTGTGTGGCCAGCTTGTTCATTAGTATCGTGTGAAGTTGGAAATAAGATTTTGTAAGGTGGATCAATTCTGAGTGTTTTGGGATTTCATGTATTTCAAATCTCATTGATTAGTGTGGGAATTGGTTTGCTCTAGACCAAATAATAGTCTCAGCAGTTAGGAAGTATTAATTTGAGTCTTCAGTGATAGTCCTTGTCTGTTTTGTTTATTAGACTTCCCAGTTACAATTTTTACATCGTATTTTCTAACTCCACCTCTTTCATGAAACGTTCTTCATAGAAGACAGCTGAACTGCATTCTTGTAATATTGGTAGTTTGTTAATTTTTTTTTTTTTTCAATTTGAAAGGCAGACAGAGATCTTTCATCTACTGGTTTGCTCTTCAAATGCCTGCAACAGCTGGTATTGGCCCAGGCTGAAGCTAGGAGTCCAGAACTCAATCCAGGTCTCATATGTGGGTGTTAGAGACCCAAGTACTTGAGCCATCACCAGCTGCCTCCCAGGGCACACATTAACAGGAAGCTGGATCAGAAATGCACCCAGCAACTCACAGTCTAGATACTTAATATTGGATGTGGGCATCTCAAACTGTGTCTTAATCTCTGCACCAAATGTGCCCCCCAATTTAATTTGGTACTTTTATTAAATAATTTTGTAGTTACTGAATAACATCATTCATAAAACAAATCAAGTGACAGAATATGAACTAAATAGTTATTATTATTTTGGCTGATAAACAAATCCAGATACTGAAGTGGTAACTTCTAAAAAGTAAGCGAGATTCCTGTTATTTTTCAGTCATTCAGCACTGGTTCATTTGGAAAATCTATCATTGTCTACTGTAGCTTACAGAAAGAGGCATGAGGATTTGGAGAGTCAACCTCATGAGAATCCTATTGCAAAAGCTTTCAAAATAAAGTCTTAAAATTGTCCTTTTGAGTCATCTAAATTTTTTTTAGCATTCTTGAGTTAATGCAGAGTTTTGTGGTAGAAATTATTTGAATGAATGTGTGGGAAATACTTTAAAAACTTAAATCTTCTCTTAACTTCCAGATTTCTTTCCACAGGCCATTTTGCAACCCGTGTTGGCAGCAGAAGATTTTACGATCTTTAAAGCAATGATGGTCCAAAAGAACATTGAAATGCAGCTGCAGGCTATTCGGATAATTCAAGAGAGAAATGGTAAATTGTTGAAGTTAGGAATCTAAGTGAAACATGCCTCCTTTTGTTGTTGCAGTTTGGGCTATTCTGATAGAGTCATAAATATAGCTGCCTTTTATACATTTATTTTAATTTTAAAAGTCTTTGACTGACATTAGAGATTGGAGAGTGTAAACTTCCTGATCACTTTCTTTGCATCTCAAAGAAAGCAGACCAGAATTTGATTTCATAATGTTTTGTATTTCAGAGAGCTCAATTTTGTGCCCAGCCATTGTGTTTATGAAATACGGTTACTGATGGGAGAAGGTGACTCCTGTCTTATCGTTGTTAGGACCTTTGTAGCTGACAGTGGTTGTCAAGTTTCTGTGAGCACGCAGAATAGTTGCAAGACTTGTTGAAACACATACGACTTTCTCTCAGTTTCTCGTTCAGTAGATCTGAAAGGGAGCCCAATAATTAGCATTTTCAACAAGCTGTCAGGTGTTGCTGAAGCTGCTGGTACAGGACTACATTGAGAACCACATTGAGAACCAAGGGCAATGGGCAGATATGATTGCCCCAGCCTTATAATCAAAGCCCAGGTGTACTCTGGCTGTGTTTCCTCCCTGACTATGATTTCTTGTTTAGCTCCGCTTGCTTGTGTGTCCCTCTTGTGTAACTGAACTACATTTGACGTCCTCATTCAGAGCAGATGACTTTCTAACCATCCCTCTTGTTATTATACCATCTCACTTTCAACCCAGATTCTCATTATTTGGCTCTGGTTATTTCACCTTAATTCCTGTGTGTGCCTTTGCTCGATATATTGTCACTGATATTCTTTGCTTATGGCTCATAACCTCATTAATGGTTTGGCAGCAAGAATTTTCCTTTGTTCCTTGAACGTGTGAAAATCAGAAGGGCTTTTTTTTTTTATTGCAGTGCAAACAGGATGTTGCTGATTCCTTTTTGGGGATTCTCCTTCTCTTCTGTCTGACACATAAACATCCCCTAAAATCCTAACATGCTTTTCACAGCAGGTTAATAGAGCTGTTAATCTGGGTAGGAGATAATGTTCCCCTAATCCGGAAGAATGCATGACACAGTGCTGTTATTTTGGTGCAAATAAATTTGGAAAATAGTCTCTCTTCTCTTTGTCTTTCTAACATGGTTTATTTTATGAAAGACTTTCCTCTGAATTTTCCTGAAACTATGCTTTATTATGACCTGTGGAATAGAGAATTTTAATAATTATTTTATATTAGTAGAATTTGCTTTGAGGGGATCAATTTTGCTAAAACAAATAGTGAACTTGACATTGGACTCTGTAGTGTTCAGTTTAGAATTTAACTGGAAACTCATTTAGATTATAATCAAAAGGGAACCAATACATATTCAGCTTGTATCAGCTAGTCACTTCAGGCCACCCATTACAGAACACCCCACTGAAAATGGCCTATGCAATTAGAAGTTATCTCACAAAACAAGTTCAGAGGAATGGAGGAAAGGAAGACAAATCCAGAGTTAGTAAATTTAGTGACTAATGATGTTATTTATCAAGACCCTGATACTTTCTATCTTTGTATCTAACTCTGCCATTCTCAGGATCTTCCCTCATGATTGTACTCTGGCTGTTTCAAATGCAGACTCAAGAGCGTCTCATGAAGGTCCTCATGTACATCTCATTTTGTTAGCGAGACGCACTTTCATGGAAGCCCTCGAGTTTTCCCCTTAGGTCCTATAAATTGGGATTGGGGTCACTTGCCTTTTTAAAACCATCAGCTATGGGGAATGCAATCATTATGATTGCTGAATCATGAGTCACTCTCCTGGGGAGGCAGAGGCCCCAGCCTCTAAGAAGCTGGCTACGTGATGACTGCACAAAACCTGGGATATATTAGCAAGGAAGGAGGGGAGTGATGTGGAATAATGGCTACTGTCAGTCCACAGTGTGGGACAGTTTGCTTACACTTAAACTGATACTTAGTTTCTGCTACAGAATTTTTAATACTTGTATTTAAGAATGTTGCTTAACTTAGATCCAGGGGTGTCAGCACCTTAGATCTAGGTTGTTTGTACTCAGAATTGCAAATTGTTTGAAAATTGTCATTGTGACGAGAAAAAGCCAAAGATTCTCTGGATTCTTGGTTATATTTTATAAAAGAATTTGGGGGAAATGCAAATCAGCATTATTTTTGGTGGTTTTGGAATATTTTATACTGTTGCATTGTCTTTCCCTTAATATTTTTAATTTTCCTTAGAGATGTTACTAGGAGAATAATTTCTATATCTTTTGAACACAAATGCACTTAGGGTTGATGAGTTGTACAGATGTGAGTTTTCTGGTTGTGATAGTGTACTGTAGCTTTGCAAGATGTTAATGTGGGGGAAACTGAGTAAAGGGCACTAGCATCTTTGTGTATTATTTCTTTACAACTGCTTGTGAATCTGCAGTTACCTCAAAAATGCCTGTAAACATCAAGGGGATTAAAATGATAAAGCTACTTTACTTTAGAGCACATCCCAAATCCCAGTCACGTGTGAATAAAGAGATAGAGGGTAAAAATTAAGAGAGATTCTGCTCGTATTGTAGAATATAATTATACATGTGAACGGAATGCTGAATGCATTTGCTTGCTTATCAGGAAGATATAACCAATAAAGTAAATTAAACCAATGTTTAAAATGATTTGCCATGAATGTTTATTTGCTTTGGGCCAACGTTGGTACTGCTGTGATTCATAGTTAATAAACCAACATCCAAACAGAAGCTGCGAGGGTACAGATTGTTTATTTCTCTTTATATCCCCACAAGTGCTTAGCACTATGCTTTCATTACACATAGTAAGCAAGGCCCTTTTGTTTAATAGCATCTGTTGTGGTATGGATAGACTATTAAATGTTGTTTCAGTTAACAAAATTGTATTTTACTTTTTAAGGGACACCTTTGATTGCATAGTGTCATTATTAACCTTTGTTCAATGATTCTAGTAGTATATGCTCAGATATTATATGATTATGGATGACAGTATAACATTAATTTTATTGTTATACATCTTTGTTATTTTTACTAGCCAATACAAACAATTGCTAGTATATATTTCCAGGTAAATTGTTGGTTTCTTGGTGGTGCTGGGGAAGCCCCTAAAATGAGAAAAAGTTTTAAAGGCAATAATTAAGAAGATAATAGCTTTGAATGTTTTTTATATGTCATTTCTTAAACTGATTTGTACTTGACAAACTAGAACAGTGAGAAATAAATGTTTTCAGTTGAGTTGATATTCTTCTGTGTGGTCTTTGATTTTGAGCAGGTGTATTACCTGACTGCTTAACAGATGGCTCTGATATGACCAATGACCTTGAACAGCAAGAGATGAAAATCCTGAGGGAAGTTCTTAGGTACTCTGCTTTATTTTTTGAATGAATCGTTAGTAATGGCATATTATTTGTATATATTTTTAGTCAGAAAATATTATGAAGTAGCAAAATATCTAAATTTGTCTGTGAAGACCATCAAAATGACTTATCATTTTATAACTTTTTATCATTTTATAACTATTATTAATGGACAGAAAAAATTACTTTCAGATGACTCATACCAGATTAGCCAAATTAAAGGATTTTTTCCCTACCTGCATCGTAGGAATGGGAAACTAGGCAATGATGAAAAGAAGTTGCAGTATACCCAGTCTGATCCCTGGAGAGGGGTTAGTGACCTGAATTGAGCAGGATACTCCATGGTTTCTGGATCTCAGTTTGTAGTGGTAGCTCACAGTAGGAGGCTGGGCATCCAGATTCCACAGATTGGATAACCTGCAAGAGAGAGAGGATGTTGGGAAGCATCTATCCCAGATGTGTGTCTTGTTGGTCTTTCTCTTCCCATTACATGATTCTGAGGCAGATACCTTTCAAGAAGTGTGAAGCCCACCACAGGGGCCCACTGAGAACTAAGAAAGGTTGGTGGGCCTTTCTTTTTCTTAGGGCCGGTTGTCCCCTAACCTCTGCTGTAGTTTTGGGTGAGAGGGGCAATTGCAGCACCTAATTTTTGTGCCAGGTTTAGGACAAAAGTATACCTGTAGTCACTGGCCGTTGAGGGTACTGCTTCTCCAGCTCTCCCACTACACATGACCATCTTCAAGCATCCTGTGGTCGCCCCACCTTCACACTTCATCTCCAGCCCCAAAACAAAAGAGAATGGGCCTTGAGGGAGACTAAGGCAGGAGCCCTGAGACTTTGTGTTTAACTTTAGGGAGTTTGAGTGGTTTTAGGGAGTGAGGCAGGTATGTAGACAAACTGAGTCCTTTTCTGCCAGGTCTTACTTTCCATGGCAGGGACAGATAAGAGCCTGGGATAACCTAAAATGCTTTGAGTTTACAGGTTGAAGAGGTAAGGGTACTTGGGTCAGAGGATGGTGAAGTTTTGACTGGATTGGCCTTATTGGTTGACCAGTGATCTGAAAAGTGATCACTACTGTATTTTTAGATTTTATTTTCTGAGAGCTTTTGAGGGGGGGTCTGTAACTGTGTTAGTAGTAGTTATGAACATATGCAAAAAGCAGTTGCCCTTGACCTTTTTTCCTAAAGCAGTTTATAAATGTTAATAGGCTTTGGCACAGTGGCATGAGGAGTACTTTACGATAGTTCAAGTGGTGTTGGAAAAGCTAGAATTGGGGTGGGGGTGGCTCTTATCAGGAGGGGGTGTGGCTGATTTCTCAAGAGGGAGATGAAAGTCTTTTGGTAGAATTTGCTATTCGCATTTGGGTTTAAGATTTTAATTCTGTTAGTCTTTGTTCAGCTAGTGTTGTCAAATTTCTAGAATAAAAATGTAAACCTGTATTTTATGTTACTAATTATGTTATGATGTCTATGCCTATATCCATCTTTCTCGGTTGATCATAAGCCACATTAGAGCAAAATCTGATTATTGTCCATCCATGTGTCCAAAATGCTGTGCTTGTATTGTAATCTTAGGTTAGCATATTGGTTGATTGAATATTTGTTCTTTGACCAAAAAAGAAAACTTATTTTTTGTTTATTTTTGAATATTTCAGAAAATCAAAAGAGGAATATGATCGGGAGGAAGAAAGGAAGAGAACAAAACAGGTGCCTGTAGAACATATAACAGAAGTATAGTTTGTTGCTCTTTTCTCTTATTTAGTTTATACCTGGGTTTTGCTGTTGAAGTTTAAGCTTATGTGGAACTACTCAGTTTCTCAGAATAGTCATATTGTATTGAACATAGGGTTGATATTTAACTTTTTATTTATTATTTTATCATTTGAGAGACATAGAGACAAAGAAACACAAACAAAATGAGCTCCCATCCACTGGTTCACTTCCCAAATGCCTGTACCAGTCAGTACCTGGCCATGGTGAAGCCCCAGACTGTGAACTCAGTCCAAGTTTCCCATGTGGGTGGCAGGTATCCAACCAGCTGAGCCATTACCACTGCCTTCCAAGGTCTGCATTAGCAGGAAGCTGAAATTGCAAGCGGAGTTGGGACTTGAACCCTATTTAAATTTTTATACTTTTTAATATAGAAAGTATATACTTATAAAGGATTACTTTCTTTGTAAGTTTACTCTCTTCATAATTAATCAGCTACCTTTTAAATTCCTCAATAAATAAAGAGGTTATTAACTCTGAAAATTATAAAACCATTTATTTTAGAGGGTTCCTAATAAAAGGAAGATTATGAGTAAAAGAAGATTAGGGAAAAGATTTTACTTTTCTACTTTTCATGATTCCTTTACTGTATTGAAACAGCAATTGAAGTTCCCTGCAGGCTTTATGATATTATCAGCTTGAAGCAGAATGATGCATTATCACAATTCCATATATACTGATTTTCCATTATGAATCGTTTCCATAAAATGCCTAATCTTTCCTGTATGTAAATTAAACATGTAGCTTCTCCGCTTTTCTGGCTGCCTCCTTTTCCACATTTTCTCAGTCTCCCTGAAGGGAAGGGGAAACCTAATATAAACTCTCTCAATCATTTGAAAGAATTTTCCCTCTCAGTCACTATGATATGTGCTTGTATCATTTCACTGTCTTTGAAAAACCTATTTTACTCCAGGGTACTTAATGAAGAACAGAAGAGAGATGTTTTGGGATTAAGAGATGATTTATGAATTTTGAGTAGATCTTTTTTTAGTAAATGAAGATGCAGTTCTTAGATATTAATAAAGTTTTTTTTTTTAAGATTGATTTATTTAAATGGCAGAGTTAAAGAGAGAGAAGGAGAGGCAGCGAGAGAGAAAGACAGATCTTCCATCTTCTGGTTCACTTTCTAAATGGCGGCAACAGTTGGATCTGGGCCATTTTGAAGCCAATGACCAAGAGCTTCATCTGGGTCATCTACATGGGTGCAGGGGCCCAAGCACTTAGACCATCTTCTGCTGCCTTTTCCAGGCCATTAACAGGGAGCTGGATTGGAAGTGGAGCAGCTAGGATTTGAGCCAGTGCCTATCTTGGATGCTGGTACTGCAGGCAGTGGCTTACCCTGCTGTGTCATAGCACTGGCCCCAGGATTTTTAAATATAAGGATATAGAACAGAAACTAGATCTAAACTATTATTAGATGACAGTAGTGACTCTCTGATTTAAATGCAAACTATATTAGGTTTCTTGAATACTAATGTTTTAGGGGTATATTTTTGGTTTTCTTTTGAGATTTTTTTATTATGGAAACATGGTGATAATGAGTCCCCATGTATCTATCACCCAACGTATAGGGACTTAAAATTTAGATGTTTGTGAATTGCCTAATCATCTACATGTGATTGCATTTTCCCTTAATTTTTTTTAAAAAGATTTTATTTATTTACTTGAAGGGCAGAGTTACATAGAGAGAGGTGGGGGGCGGGGGAGAAACAGAGAGAGGTCTTCCATCTGCTGGCTCACTCCCCAAAGGTCACAATGGCTGATGCTAGGCCAGGCCGAAGCCAGGAGCTTCTTCCAGGCCTTCCACATGGGTGCAGGGGCCAAGCACTTGGGCCATCCTCCACTGCTTCTTTCCCAGGTGCCCTCACAGGGAGCTGAATTGCAAGTAGAGCAGCTGAGACTCGAACCGGTGGCCAGTGCTGCAGGCAGTGGCTTATCTCACTATGCAGCAACATGGCCCCCAATTGTCCCTTATTTTTAAGGAAATGTTAGCTAACTTATTTTCCAAGATTTGAATGATTTCTTTGACGTATATATACTATCCCATTGTAGAAATGGAAACAAATATGTGCCTACTTCAAGCATTTAAAGTATGTTTTATTTATATATATGTATAAGTATATATATATGTATGTATGCTTATATATACATATAAGTATATATATGTGTGTAAGTATACATATATGTATATAATTTTAAATGGAAAACCATATAGTTCAGTGGTTTTATTTCTGTTAGAGTATTTCTTGGTCTTGCTCAGAGTCACGTGAATACTGAGGGTGAAGCCTGGGTTTGAACCCAGTTTTCACTGTCTGAAGTCCTAACCATATGAGTTATCACATGATTGGAAATGGAAGTTTACCTCCTTCATAAAGTAGGAGCTATACAGTGCTAACAGAATCTTTAAGAATTTTGGGAAAAGAGGATCTCTTATTCACTAACTTGTCAGTAGAGAGTAATTTTTTTAAGAAATATTTTTGTATCCCTTAGGTAGTGAATTATCTAAATAAATCTAAATTGTGTTTTTTAAAAAATTGTATTATGGACTCCTGAAGTTATCAGAGGATAAAACAGAAGAGCCCCCAGAGCATACTAGTGAAGCTGTGAAGATGAGTCATTCCCAAGGAAGTGGTGAACATTTTGGGCATTCAACCTCAGGTAAGGTTGAGGGGTACTGTACTTTCTCTAACTCTGGGATGGAGGATTGGTATTTTAAAAGGTCTTTGTGAATTTAGTTAAAGAGGTTGCAAGTAGGAAATACTTAGCTGAAAAAGAGTATCGTCCCAAAATTTCCAAGTGAAGCCTGGAACCCAGAGCAGTGAGAGGCCTTTGAGGAGTCACCGGCCTGTGCCACGCTGCAGCCTGCACCATACGCTCATGTAAAATCTGGTATTCTCTTCCTTGCTTATGGTTGTTTGGTGTTTGTCAAAGACTGAACTTGTAAAGACAATATTAAATTACTTTTTTAATGAATTAAAGCACAGTTAGAAAATAAGAGGTATCCAGTTTGTCTATTTTTTTTTTTTTTTTTTGACAGAGTGGACAATGAGAGAGAGACAGAGAGAAAGGTTTTCCTTTACCGTTGGTTCACCCTCCAGTGGCTGCCACTGATCCGATGGCAGGAGCCAGGTGCTTCTCCTGGTCTCCCATGGGGTACAGGGCCCAAGCACTTGGGCCATTCTCCACTGCACTCCCGGGCCACAGCAGAGAACTGGCCTGGAAGAGGGGCAACCGGGACAGAATCCGGCGCCCCGACCGGGACTAGAACCCGGTGTGCCAGTGCCACAGGTGGAGGATTAGCCTAGTGAGCTGCAGTGCCGGCCCCAGTTTGTCTAGATATTTAGTCAAAAGTGTGTCTTTGAATCCAAAATTTATGGCACACCTCAGAGGATATGTTGGTGATGTACTTGTTGAATATGCTACAAATCCGCTCGCAATATTCTCTGCTTTCCTGTAGTGTGAGAAAACAAGTAATTCTGGAACAGAAATTGGATTGTGATCATAAATTCAGTTCATTTTTATCATGGATTTCTATAGTTTTAAATGCATGTTCTTTTCTCAATTTTAAATTTAAAAAACATAACTGACATAACTGTGTGAGTTAGATATTAGGATCCTTATTTTTCTTTTATCTTTTTTTAAATAAGAAATTCAGGGAACTTGAGTGCCTTGTCCAAGATCACTGAGCTTTTAAATGGTGAAACTGTGACTTACCTTTGTCTTTTGATTAAATCTTAAAATTTTCTGCACTTGAGAAGAACTTTGAAATTGGAGTAAGTTTAAGTAGGAGTGCAACTTTATTTAAGTGTTTCAGGGCAGTTTTAGGTTCACAGCAAAACTGAGCAGAAAGTGCAGATTCCAACTTTTTTTTTTTTTTTTTTTTTTTGACAGAGTGGACAGTGAGAGAGAGAGACAGAGAGAAAGGTCTTCTTTTGCCGTTGGTTCACCCTCCAATGGCCAAAGGCAGGAGCCAGGTGCTTCTCCTGGTCTTCCATGGGGTGCAGGGCCCAAGTACGTGGGCCATCCTCCACTGCACTCCCTGGCCGCAGCAGAGAGCTGGACTGGAAGAGGAGCAGCCGGGATTAGAACGGGCACCCATATGGGATGCCAGAGCTTCAGACCAGGGCTTTAACCCCCTGTACCACAGTGCCAGCCCCATTTCTTTTTTTTTTTTTTTTTAAGATTTATTTTATTTATTTGAAAGATAGAGTTACAGAGAGGTAGAGACAGAGAGAGAGGTCTTCTATCCACTGGTTCACTCCCCAGATGGCTGCAATAGCCGGAGCTGTGCTGATCCAAAGCCAGGAGCCAGCAGCTTCCTCTGGGTCTCCCACGTGGGTACAGGGGCCCAAGCACTTGGGCCATCTTCTGCTGTTTTCCCAGGCCATAGCAGAGAGTGGGATTGGAAGAGGAGCAGCTGGGATTAGAACCAGCGCCCATATGGGATGCCGGCACTTCAGGCCAGGGCTTTAACCCGCTGTGCCACAGCGCCAGCCCTCTAGGGTTATTTCTATGTTTCTTTCTAGGAGTTTTATAGTTTTGCACTTTACATTTAGTGCTAGAATCCATTTGGGATTAATTATTGTGAAAGATGTGACATATGCGTTTAGATTTTTTTTCTTTTATCATGTGTATGTCCAGTTGTTCTAGCCTCATTTGTTTATTTTATTTTTTTTAAAGATTTATTTTATTTACTTGAAAGAGTTATAGAGAGAGGCAGAGACAGAGAGAGAGATCTTCCGACTGCTGGTTCACTCTCCAGATGGCCGCAACGGTGGGAGCTGAGCCGATCTGAAGCCAGGAGCCAGGAGCCAGGCGCTTCCTCCTGGTTTCCCACGTGGGCGCAGGGCCCAGGGACTTGGGCCATCTTCCACTGCTATCCCAGGCCATAGCAGAGAGCTGGTTGGGAAGAGGAGCAGCCAGGACTCGAACCGGCGCCCATATGGGATGCAGATGCTTGAGGCCAGGGCTTTAACCCACTACGTCACAGCGCCAGCCCCGCCCCGTTTGTTTAAAAGACTAGCTTTTCTCCATTGAGTTACCTTTGTTCCTTTGTCAAAGATCAGTTGACTAAGTTTGTGTCCATTTTCAGATTCTTTTCTCTCCTATCAGATTGGTTTGTCCATTCTTTTGCCAGTAACATACTGTCTTGATTATCATAAAATTAGGTAGTATCAATTCTCCACTTTGTTCTTCAGTATTTATTGGGCTATTCTGGTTCTTTTGCTTTCTCATATACATTTTTAGGATAAGTTTCTCAATATCCACAAAATAACTTGCTGAGATTTTCATGGCATTATATTGAACCTATACTTACATATTCACACTGTTGGGTCTTCCCATTTACGAACATGGAATATCTCCATTTATGTGGTTCTTTGAGTTCTTTAATCAGAATCTTAAATTTTTTTTTATGTGAATCTTGTGTGTATTTTACTAGATTGTATGCTTCAAGTGTTTCACTTTTTGGGTGCCAATATACGTGGTATTGTGTTTTAATTTCAAATTTAATTTACTTACTACTGGTGTAAAGGAAAGTTATTTTTGATTACCCTGTACTCTTGCTATAATTGCTTATTCCAGGTTTTTTTTTTTTTTTTTGGGTCAATGCATGTTATCTGTGAATAAAGATAGTTTTACATCTTTCTTCCTTATCAATGTACCTCATTTCCTTTTTGTTATCTTTTTGTATTATGGAGGATTTGCAGTACAGTGTTGAATTAGAATGTTGAGAAGGGGATATTCTTATCTTCTTCCTGATCTTAGGGGAAAAAATTTAGAAGAAATTTCTTTCTATTCCTATTTTATTTATTTTTTAAAAGATGTATTTATTTGAAAGAGAGGAGAGGTGGGGGTGGGGGGAAAGGGGGAGGGGAGAGAGAGAGGTCTTCCATCTGCTGGTTCACTCTACAAATGGCTGCAATGGTCAGGGCTGCATCAGGCTGAAGCCGGGGTTGAGGAACTTCATCTGGGTCTACTACATGGGTGCAGGGGCCTAAGCACTTGGACCATCTTCTGCTGCTTTCCCAGGAGCACTAGTAAGGAGCTGGATTGGAAGTGGAGCAGCCAGGACTCAAACCAGCACCCATATGGGATGCTGGCATTGCAGGCAGAGGCTTAACCTGCTGTACCACAACCTTGAACCTGTAGAATTAAGATGTAAGTTTAATTTTGGTGCAGAAAATTTTGAAATTCATGCAAGATCTTTAAAAAATTCATTGGAGAATGTATGTTATGAAAAAATTATGCATGCATTTCAAATTATTTTGCACCAAAATTAAGTTTTTTTCTAAGATCTTTTAAATTTATTTTGAGAGGTAGCGTTACAGAGAGTGGGAGAAACAGAGATAAAGGTCTTCTATCCAGTGGTTCACTCTCCAAATGGCTGCAACAGCCAGAGCTGGTCCAACCTGGAGCCAGTAGCTTCTGGGTCTCCCCCGCGGGTGCAGGCGCCCAAGGACTTGGGCCATCTTCCACTGCTTTCCCAGGCCATAGCAGAGAACTGGATTGGAAGAGGAGCAGCCGGGACACGAACCAGCACCCATATGGGATGCTGGCACTGCAGGTAGAGGCTTAATCTACTACGCCACAACACCAGTCCCTCCATAATTAACTTTTAATTCTACTTTTTCCACACTTTCTGAAGTACCCTAATAAACAATGTGTTTATAATAGACTCATGGCAAAAAGTATCCAGAAACGTACATGAGTTGAACACAAATGTCTGTATGTATAGGTTCCCCCCTTCTCAGCAATCATTTGAGCAGTTCCTTCTCCTGTTCTGTGGTTCCATATGTGGGAGACAAGTCTACCTCTACTAAAGTGACCTCTACTGAAGTAAGAGAGCCCATGTTTAGACTCTATCTGTACTTTTTGCCCAACTTGTTTTAAATTCATCTTTATTTCAAAGTTAGTTCTGTAGTTCCCGGTCTGGGTTGGTTTGCAGTGCTAGCTCCAGTTCACATCTTTCATGAAGACTTCCCTGACAGTCCAAGGCCCGTAGAGCTTTTCTTGTCCAATCTCCCCAGTACAGCAGTCAGGCTGCTCTGTGCTGCAGCAGTGGTGCTTTGTCAAGTTTCTTGTGCAGCCAAGTTCTATTTCTGGTTTTAGTATGGAGCCAGCGTTTTTAATAGAGACATGTATATAAGTTCTCCCATCACACTTTTAGTTCTCAGCATCATTTTTATATTAAATCTTTGCTGATATCATTCTGCTTTCTTTCATAGTCCATGCACTTATATAAAAATGTTTTTATATATTCTTTTAAAAAAACACAATCTTATAATCAAATGCCTTTAGGAGCAATCAGCATGTTAATCCTAGTTCTTGCCACAGCCATCGAATAGCTCATGGAGTTATCCTGCTATTTGTGCTTCCAAGTTCTGCTTGTTTTAGAAATCTTTAGTTATCTTCAGTATGTAGTTAAAAACAAAAATTATAGATATTACTGGCACTTCTGCATAACAAAGTTGTAGTTTTATAATAATTGCTCTGAAAATGTATAGTCACTTAGAGTTTTTTTTATCTGCATGCAAAGTTTAGAAACCAATTACATTAGTGAGAGATAAGTATACTACTTACTTGGCTTATGGAGCACCTGTGCAGGGTTGGGACCATACAGCCCATGGGCAATATAATGTCGCTCCCCGTCTTCGTGGGGGAACGACACAGGACCCTGCGCTGTTCTTTCGTCTGCTCGGCCCTCCCCGGGTTTGCTGCTGGTTCTTCCCGGGTTGGCTACTATCCCTTCCACCTCCGTGGAAGGGCAGTTCCCCCTGGCCACATTCCCCACTTCCGCAGGGGAGCGGCACACCGCCGGCCGGCTCTTCTCGGGGGCTGCACAGGTGTTCCCCTTAGATGTTCCTCATAGATGTTCCTGGTGCATGCCGTCTCTCTCCTCCTTTATAGTCCTCCTCCGCCAATCCCAACTCGGCTGCCCACACGCCGAGTACGCTGCTCTCCAATCAGGAGCAGGTCCTACAGTTAATTGGTTGAACTGGAGGCAGCTGTGCGGAAGCTGTTTACTTCTCTCCCAGCGCCATATTGTGGGAGAGCAGATGCATAGAATAAGTCTTAATTCCAGTAACTTAGTCTAGTCCGAGCTGCTCCCCACAGAGGAGAGCAGATGCATAGAATAAGTCTTAATTCCAGTAACTTAGTCTAGTCCGAGCTGCTCCCCACATATAAGGCCTGCAAAATCATTTGGTCTGGCCTTGCCTAGGCAACTGCACGTGGGACTCAAAATTAAATACATATATATAGTAAGGTAATTTTCAAGTCGATAATTTTCTATGGCCCATGAATGATGTTATTAATATCCAGATGGCCTTTGGCAGAAAAGTTTCCCCACCCCTGTAATTATATTAGAGTTCTAATCTTTAATCAGGGATTATATCTTTTTGTAGCTACAGTACTGTACAGATAACGGGAAACTGGTGTTTATTGAAATGTCATCGATTATAGGGTTAGAGTTCAGGTTCTTTAAGGATAGCAACTGGGTTTATTCTCACCCAATGCCTGACACATTATGGGCACTGAATTTTTGTTGATTGAATGAATGTGAAAAAAAAAGTGTTACCATCATTAACTCAGTAAGCTGAACTTACTGCAATACTTAATGTTTCTTAAAGTAGTCTAATTGGTCTCATTGTCTAATTACTGCCAGAAAAAATGCATTTTGCTAATCAGTCAGTACAACCCTTGGCAAGAAAGGTGGATATGTTGCCTGAAACTCCCTCGCTTCCACAGAAGGACTTGAAGAATCCTGGTTTAGAACATGCAAGCATTGAAGGACCAATAGCAGTAAGTGAAAAACATCACTTTTTTTTAACTTTTATTTAATAAATATAAATTTCCAAAGTACAGCTTTTGGATTACAGTGGCATTTTCCCCCCCAATAACTTCCCTCCCAACCACAACCCTCCCATCTCCCACTCCCTCTCCCATTCCATTCACATCAAGATTCATTTTCATTTATCTTTATATACAGAAGATCAATTTAGTATATATTAAGTAAAGATTTCAACAGTTTGTACCCACACAGAAAAACATCACTTTTTAAGAACAATGAACAAAATTATAAGGTACTGGGAACAGTGTGTACTTGCTTTCTTTATCATTAAAATCAAAGATCTAATTGCATCAGTCAGTGGGTATCTGTGCCATTTATTATATGGACTTGAATTTAGATAGTTCCTTTTCTCATTTGACCCAGAATTTGTCAGCACTTGGAATGGAAGAGCTCCGGCAACGAGAACACTATCTGAAACAGAAGAGAGATAAATTGATGTCCATGAGGAAGGATATAAGGACTAAGCAGATAGAAAATGCGGAGCAGAAAGGAAAACCCGTGGGGGAGGTAGAGGTATGTCTAGCTTTAGTATGTCAACATTTGCTAATGTAGGAGTGGAATTAACACACTCAGAGTATGTGCAAGAAAGCCTCTAATGGATTTTGCTGGTGGATCCACTTATATTAATCATCCTGCTAGTGCAACAGCTGCTTGAAACATTTCTAGGAAATGAGATAATTGTGATGAAGAGTTTCTGAGGGACAAATAGTAGCATCTTCATTATGCATTTTTTTTCTGGCTCTCCACTTGCCCTGATCTGAGTGATTAAGGGTCAGCAATCTGTTTCACCTGAGTCTTCTGAAATGTCTCAACTGTCCTACCTTAGAGCAGCATTAGTATACCAGCCATCTTCAAGAGCTTCCTGCAAGAAATTTTACAAAGAAGATATTTCAGAAACCTAATCTATGGGGGAGGGAGGGAGAGAGAGAGGGAGAGAGAGAGAGAGAGAGAATCCGAGAATGCTCCATCTGCTGGCTCACTGCCCAAATGGTCAGAATGGCTAGGGCTGCATCAGCAGGGATCTGGAACTGAAGCAGAGCAGCCAGACTCGAACTGGTGCTCATATGGGATGCCAGTGTTCCAGGCATGGCTTTTGCCCACTGTGCCACCATGCTGGCCCCTGAATTTTAATTTTTTCCTGAATATGTCTTTTTCTTTTTAATGTGACTCTTTACATCGTTTGTAAATAACCAGTGGGACTCAGTGCCACAAAATACAGTGTCATGGATAATTTAATGTATGAATACAGTATCTGCAGTCTAACAGAGACACCTCTGACCCTCTGACTGCATATTTCTTTAATTGTTTGAGGCAGTATGTTGGGAGTGTTAGAAAAATGAGTCCATGTTATACCACTGGTTAATTGTTTTCTTTTTCTTTTTTTTTAAGGAAATGACAGAGAAACCAGAAATGACAGCAGAAGAGAAGGAAACATTACTAAAGAGGCGATTGCTTGCAGAGAAACTTAAAGAAGAAGTTATTAATAAGTAATATTAAAAAAATAGCAAAATAGTTCAAATTTTCTTAAAAATAAATTATTTAATCCTTATACCAAGTCTATTATAAAAAAATCCTTGCTTTTGTAAATGCTAATATAAGCTCATTATTAAATATTTGAGGCAAAAGGGCAGTAGGGAAGACAGCTTACACTGATCTGTTTAAATTCAATTTCTGGATACAGTTTTCTCTTGGAGAAGAGGATATAGAAACCAGTTTGTAGTGTGTTTATTCATTCTACTTAGTATTTGTGCTAGGCACTATACTACATATATGCAGTAAGAATATAGCAGTTGATTAAATTGACAAGGTCTCTGCCTTCATAGGGCTGGTGAAGAAAGCTCAAAGAGCAAAGTGTTAGGAAGTACAGAGTGCTGTGAGCAGGGCTGGCTGAGCCTCCTTGAGAAAGCGTCTAAGCTGATTAGAAGGGTGATTGCATGGAGATAACTAATTCTGGCTCTGCAGCAAGAACAAAGCACATCCTGAGTAAGTGGATTCTGTGTCGAGTGAGTCCAGGGGTTAGCATATGAAATTGGAGATAGGTGGGGTACTGGTAGTACAGGGCCTTGTAGGAAATGTGAGGATTTAAACTTTAATAATAATGGGCAGTGGGAAGCCACTGAAGTTTTAAAGCATGGAAATTACTTTATTAAATTTTCATTTTTAGGATGGGTGGACTAAAATAGTTAGGGGCTGTGCTGGCACCGTGGCCCAGCTGTCTTTTGTGGCTATTTGGGGAGTGAATCAACAGATGGAACCTCTGTCTCTTCCCTCTCTGTTGCTTTTTTTTTGGACAGGTAGAGATACAGACAGGTTCATTCCCCAAACAGCCGCTACGGCCAGTGCTGTGCTGATCTGAAGCCAGGAGCCAGGTGCTTCTTCCTGGTCTCCCATGCGGGTACAGGGGCCCAAGCACTTGGGCCATCCTCCACTGCACTCCCGGGCCACAGCAGAGAGCTGGACTGGAAGAGAAGCAACCAGGACTAGAACCCAGCGCCCATTTGGAGTGCTGGCGCCGCAGGCGGAGGATTAACCAAGTGAGTCACACGCTGGCCCTCTCTGCTGCTCTTTCAAATAAAATCTTAAAAGAATAAAAAAAGCTGGGGGTATACTAGGTATGAGGCAGTGCAATCAACTATCCTGGGCAGTTTTAAGATGGATTTTACAGGCCGGCGCCGCGGCTCACTAGGCTAATCCTCCGCCTTGCGGCGCCGGCACACCGGGTTCTAGTCCCGGTCGGGGCGCCGGATTCTGTCCCGGTTGCCCCTCTTCCAGGCCAGCCCTCTGCTGTGGCCAGGGAGTGCAGTGGAGGATGGCCCAGGTGCTTGGGTCCTGCACCCCATGGGAGACCAGGAAAAGCACCTGGCTCCTGGCTCCTGCCATCGGATCGGCGTGGTGTGCCGGCCGCAGCGCGCCGGCCGCGGCGGCCATTGGAGGGTGAACCAACGGCAAAAGGAAGACCTTTCTCTCTGTCTCTCTCTCTCACTGTCACTCTGCCTGTCTAATTACATAAAAACCAAAAAAAAAAAGATGGATTTTACATTTGAAGCAAAGTGAACACGGGAGATGTTAAAAACATTCATTACTCAATCTTTCCAGAAAAGCTATTATTGGAACAAAGACAAGTGACTGAGCCTGCTGAGGGAAATGATACCACTGGTGTAGTCTTTTGTATGACAAGTAACCCTAGCATAGTTCTCTGCAGCCTGTGGAAAGGTAACCAGGAAAGTAGAAGACCCATAAGAAACTTTCAGAGCTGTGGCACCCTCCCCAGCAACCCCATCCATCTTTTCCTAGCTGGAGGACACTCCTGAGGTTTAAGTTATCATTACATCTTTTCTCCTTAAGTCTACAACTATAAAACTTTAAAAAAGGGACACCAAAGCTCATTTTAGCTATATAATTCCAATGTTTAACTTTTAGAAAAACCAGAGTTATTCTTCACTTGGTACATTTGCATCACTAGGTGGACAAAAGGAAAAACTAGCAATTAAAACACAGAATTGTTTCAGATAACTTTTATTAAAAATAGTTTTATATTGGATACATGTTTACAGATATCACTTTAAGAAGTCCTAAGGCATACAAGTGTGGGCTCTAGTTTGCTTCACTGAGTGAAGATATAAAAACCCAGCTCTGCCTAGCATAGTTATTGTAAGACAGCAGCTCATGTGGAATCTTCATGGTTGCTCTTTCAAGATATGTCTTGATCTCATATGGTGATGGGTATGGATATGTAACTTGTATTTCAAGAAAACATTCACATTTCTGCTATATATGATGAGATTTGATGATCAGTTAAAAGTTTGAGACTCATGGCAGTTCTTCAGAAAGGAAAATTAGAGGGAGTCTTTCCAAGATACAAAGATAACACTTTATACTGGAACTTAAGCTATTTAAGAACAGTAAATAGAGAAATGTTTTAGGCCTGAGCTTCTTAGATTATACGATTTATTAAGACCTAAGATGCTAAGTAGTGGCTTGATAAAACTTGCTTGAAGAGAGTATTCATATGCTAATTTTACCGATTTTTGTGGAAAGTATAAGGACACCCTTCCTGAAAGAGGTGAGAATAGCTCCACGCTATGATGCTGCAGTGCTGAGATTTTATTTGCCCGATGACACTTTTTCCATGTAGTCAGTGATATTTAAAGTGCAGTTGACCCTCACTTGTTTAGAATTCTTTCATTCAGATTAGAATATGAACTAGTGGTTTATAATAAATATCCATGGATAATTTTATTGGCTTTTAAAAGATAGTGTAAAATGGACATAAAAGATTTAACTTATATTTACAACAAAACAAACACAAGCATCAATCATGAAATTAGAGGGTCACATTTTAATTCCTGAATTTTACAGTTCAGCATTAATATCACCACATGTATACAAATGGTGTAAAACAAGTACAGTGGTATTTTTAATACAAAATAAACATCTGTTTTATGGAAAAACTATACTTCATATCTACACAGACAGCCCATCTTTTCCAAACAATAGCCAAAATTAAAATTAACTACAAAATCTCCAAAAAAAACAGGGGGAACTGCTTCAGTTTAAGCTATTCCAGGAAAAATGGACCCATAACACATTACAAAGGTGATCTAAAGACTGTAGCTGGAATTCCTATTTTTAGTTTTTCCCAATGTAATAAATTGTAGTTTGGGGACATTTTTCTTACTTCAGCATGATCTCAGATCATAGATGAGTAAACTAACATTAAAATATTTACAGTTAACTTGCTGTTCTAAAAATAAAAACTCTGAACTGTTGCCTCCATTATTTTAAATTCATTTACGTACATGGAATGTGCTTTTATTCTTTTTAAAAAAGCTTTCATAGTACACCCTTTTTTGTTTCTGGAAGAGCTTCATATGCTGCATGCTGATGTTGACACTTTAATGCCACTTCATTCAGCACTATCCTTTACTAGTCTTTATACTTTTTAAAACTTGCTTCAGTTCTGGGGACAGTGACAACTTCACTAACAAGGCAGAAAGTGTCTTCAAAGTATCTTCCATAGAAGACTGTATTGGAAGGCAGTTGAAAATATTTTATTCTATGTACCCCCAAATTTTGGAAACTACTGTACTGATTCTTGGTCTCTGTTATCTCAAAGTTCCTTTAACAAAACTGTCTATTTTGGATCCAGATTATTTTTGTCAAATACCTACTGAAAATTCTTGGTGTGGAAAACTCAACATGTGCTGTAATACTGGACCTCCCCCTACCTACAAGGCTGAATTCCTGTGAAATCTGCAAAGAAATGGTCCCAACATTAACTTCATTTTTGATGATAGATGAATTTTTTTCCATAAAAATCTATTTTAAAAAGAGGCAACTGATTAAAACAACATGGCCAGCACCATTATACAAGTAATGTTATTGGGTTTGCAACTGAAGTTTTATAATTGTTTCTAGATTGGATACCCACCCTGGAGCAACCCTGCATTAATGTTATTTTATCAGCCTCTTCCCTCCCCCAGAAACGAGCCCAAAACCTGAGACTCCTTGCTGAGAAGCTATCTCCTAGGTTCTGGTTACTAACCTTTTTTAGACATTTTGCTGACAGTCTAAAAGGCAAAAATCTGTAATTATTAGCAAGCAATCAAGTTCCTGGGAAGCCTGGTTTTTACCAGAACTAAACTCTCCTAGCTGACACAGAGTATCTTTTGCTACTCCTGTATATTCATAGTTCAAGTGAGAAGGCTTTCTGATTCAGATTTTCAGCTCATTGAACAGTTGCAGCATTTTAGTAAGACCACATGTTGATGGTCCTCCAGTAAATTATTTTATGAGCCAAGACGAGGTCTTTTCCTGGGGGATGTTTCTTCTTCTTCATCTTCCTCTTCATCATCTGGATAATCCACTAAGCCAACCAAACTTCCCTAGTGAAGAATTAAAAAAAATTTTTTGAAGTATATGAAACTTAAAAACAATAAGCTTTTAGTGTAAATGCAGTCATGTGAAGATACTGAAAATCATTTTTCTAAGTCACAATTATCTGAAGTTAACATATTTAAATTTGATACAGGAATCACTTGAAATTATGAATACTAACTACCAATTGGTGACATTACAGCCCTCAACTTTTCTTTTTGCTTCCTGAGTTTTTAATGATACCTAAGAACTCATTTTAAATCGGGAAAATTTGACTGTGGGAAAACAGTATTTTTCTAAATAGTAGGACTAACAATCATTGTATTTGGAAGCTGGAAACTTCTAGCTTCCAAATTTCCACTAAACTTGGAAATAAGCTAGTTCATTTCTCGAATTTTACACTGTTTCTTTGTTGTCTCTGTTCATGTGTGTATTTCACCACTAAGTACACATTAATATTTTCTTTCAAGAACACTTTTTTTTTTAAAAAGATGTATTTATTTATTTATTTGAAAGAGTTACACGGAGGGAAAGAGGCAGAGAGAGAGAGGTCTTCCATCTGATGGTTCACTCCCCAACTGGCTAAAACGGCTGGAGTTGTGCTGATCCAAAGCCAGGAGCCAGGAGCTTCTTCCAGGTCTCCCATGCAGGTGCAGGGGCCCAAGGACTTGGGCCATCTTCTACTGCTTTCCCAGGCCATAGCAGAGAGCTGGATGGGAGGGAAGTGGAGCAGCTGGGACTCGAACCGGCGCCTATATGGGATCCTGGCACTGCAGGTGGCGGCTTTACCTATTACATCACAGCCACCGGCCCCTCAAGAGCACTTTAAATGACTAAAGATATGAAATGGTTCCTAAAAACTAGAGTAAGAAAAGTAAGGATGATTCAGATTTGGCCTGTTAAGAATAATAGTATGAATAATAAGACTCCTTTGAAATCCCACTAAAGCTCTGGAAACTTGACCCAAAATTACAGATGTCTGCAGGACTGCCTTCATTCTGAACCAATCCCATTAAAGTAGAATTAAGCCTGTTAACTAAATAAAAGTTGTATACTTGTGTGAGAATCCTTCTGCTTTGTTTTCAGCTTAATCACATTTGTCTTTGGTTTGGATAAGTAAGAGGCAGGATGGTTAAACCATTAATATAGAGGGCAGCACTGTGGTGTAGCAGATAAAGCCACCACCTGCAGCACTGGTATCCCATATGAGCCCCGGTTTGCGTCCCGGATGCTCCACTTCCAATCCAGCTCCCTACTAATGCACCTGGGAAAGCAGTGGAAGATGGTCCTAATCCTTGGGCCCCTGCACCCACGTGGGAGACCCAGAAGAAGCTCTGGCTTCGGAAAGGCCCAGCTTCAGCTGTTGTGGTCATTTGGGGAATGAACCAGTGGATGGAAGACCAATCTCTCTCTGCCTCTGCCTTTCTGTAACTCTGCCTTTCAAATAAATAAATCTTAAAAAAAAAAAAAAAAATATATATATATATATATATATATATATATATATATATATATAGATAGTATTCTGACTGGCTTCAAATTCCCAATGCCACCACTTTTTATCTGTATGACCTTTGGCAAGTGATTTAATATCTCCATACCTCAATTTTGTCATTTCTGTAATGTAAAAGTGATATAGTGGTAGTATTTAGACTTCAGTAAACTATCTTATAAATTAGTTGAAGAAGAAAATATGTAAAAGTATTTCTCTTACTTAGTTTCTAAGCCAAATTTGGAAGAAAAAGAATATAGTATACAAGGAACCAATCTCACAAACATGACAATAAATTACCAATAAAATTTTAATTATATTATGGATTATATATCATGTGCAAACATTTCAACCCTGAAGGGTTAACAGTTAAGGTGATGATTTTGCTTAAGATTAATTGTTCAAAAAAATCAGTTATACTATTTAATTTTATTTATATTATCTATGTTTTAATATACCATGAACAAATATACACTCAGGAAAATATTTACTGTAAAATGTAAATACAACATATTAAAAGTAAAAAAGCATGTAATCCAGAGATGCACCCTGTGAAGTTGATGGATTCAGATATATCACTTGAAATGCAGTTTTAAAATAGCAGATTTTAATTATACCTACTCTTATATAATCATGTTCACTTAGAATTCTGTCTGAAAATGGCCTTTCTTGTTTATTTACTTATGATATTGGTTGAGAACCATCTTTGTAAATGGAATATCACATGGATAAGATGTTTAGTTACTAAGGATTTTTGCATCGGTATTTATAATCTACAGGTGTACTGTAAATTCATATACAATGTTTTCAGCCTTAACTTTTAAAAATCAGGCATTTGTGTAATTAGGTCATAATGAATAATGCTGTTGGAAGACTCAAATTCATTTACTTCCACTGATGGTTGAAACTTCACTAAAATGAAAGAAAAATTTTAAAAAAAAGTATAAATATATACACCATGAAAAACAAAACTGGATGGGAAGAGAAAACAGCAGATGAAAGCAATCATAGCATTTTTATTTTTGGAAAGAATAATCAGAGGCAAGTTAGCTCATATAATAGGAGGAAGTCAAGAACTAAGTATCTGCAAGGGGATATACAAATGAGAATTGGGGGTGGGTGCTGTGGCACAGGTGAAGCCACCAGTTGCGATGCTGGCATCTCATATGAGCACAGAGCACCAGTTCCAGTACCAGCTGTTCCACTTGGATCCAGCTCCCTGCTAATGTTCCTCAGAAGGCAGCAGAAAATGGATCAAGTGCTTCGGCCCCTGCCAGCCATGTGGAAGATGGGGATGGAGTTCTGGGCTTCTGGCTTTGAACTGGCCCAGCCCTGGTAGTGACTAGATCTCCCCACCTTTGCCTCACCTTAGCTGCTTTGCCTTTCAAATAAATAAATCTTTAAAAACAAAAGGTGGATGGGGGAGGGGGGATACATACAGATATAGTATTGTTGTTTTAATGATCTGTGATTATTTTAAAACTTACTATATGAGTGAAATGGAGATCTTTAAAAAAAAATGTGTTTGGACTTCTTTGTGGGGAGCAACTCTGACTAGACTAAGTTACTGGAATTAAGACTTATTCTATGCATCTGCTCTCCCACAATATGGCGCTGGGAGAGGAGGAAACAGCTTCTACACAGCTGCCTCCAGTTCAACCAATAAACTGTAGGACCTGCTCCTGATTGGAGGAGAGCAGCATACTCGGCGTGTGGGTAGCAGAGTTGGGATTGGCGGAAGAGGACTATAAAGGAGGAGAGAGACAACATGCACCAGGAACATCTATCTGAAGGAACACCTGTGCAGCCCCCGAGAGAGCCAGCCGGCGGTGTGCCGCTCCCCCGCGGAAGTGGGGAAAGTGGCAGGGGGAACCGCCCTTCCACGGAGGTGGAAGGGTCGGTAGCCAACCCGGGAAGAACCAGCAGCAAACCCGGGAAGGGCCGAGCAGACAAAAGCGCAGGGTCCTGTGTCATTCCTCCACAAAGACGGGGAGCGACATAATGGTGCCGTGACTCGGATATGAAGCCTAGGCAGGGTTTAGTGTCATTCCTCCATGAAGAAGGGGAGCGACACTTCTTGACAACAGTAACTTCAGATTCTTGACAGAATTATTTCCAATCTAGTTTTGCATTCAGTGAAACTGTCAATCAAGCGTGAGTTAAGAATAATGTGAAGTCTCAAATTCTACCTCTCAAGCGATCCTTAGGAAACACAGAGGATATGCTCTATCAAAATGAAACAGAAGGGGCTGGTGCTGTGGTGTAGCTGGTAAAACCACCACCTGCAGTGCCAGCATCCCATATGGACGCCAGTATGAGTCCCAGCTGCTCCACTTCCGATCCAGCTCTCTAGCCTAGGAAAGCAGTAGAAGATGGCCCAAGTCCTTGGGCTCCTGCACCTGCATGGGAGACCCAGAAGAAGCTCCTGGCTCCTGATCAGCACAGCTCTGGCTGTTGTGGCCAACTGGGCAGTGAACCAGCGGATGAAAGACCTCTCTCTCTGCCTCTCCTTCTCTCTCTGTGTAGCTCTTTCAAATAAATAAATAAATCTTTCAAAAAAAAAAAAAAAAAAACACAAAAATGAAGAAGGAAATATGGGATCCAGGAAAAAAAATGATGCAAAAAAGGAGAGCAGTCAAAGTCTTAGGATAATAGAAGAGAAAGCCTCAAGACAACTGGGTAGCAGCTCATGAGAGCTGTCTCCATGAGAAAAATATGTGGAAACCAACCTAAGAAGTACTAAAAGAATTAATGAGAGGCACATACATATTACAACCAATGAAAAAAACACTAGCAATTATTTACTCTAGAAAATGGAAAGTCATAAACAGTAGAAAAAATTTAAACATGCACACTGTCATTATAAACAAACACTGTCTTAACTAAAAATTATAACACAAGAAGGAATAAAGGGGAGTATATAGTAAGGAGTGTCAAATTCATCTATGTGTGTAAGAAAGCTATTAAGTTATATCTAAATTTGTAAAATAGCATACCACTATTAGCATATCATTTGAAACAAACTGCTTTCATTGAAAAAAAAAAAAGCTAACCTATTTGGAAGGTGTTAACAAGTGCTTGAATTCAATCTTTTCAACAAACTTATAAAGTAGTAATTTCATCATCTCAACAAGCTTTTGGTAGGAGCTATTTTATCTCCATTTAAAACCAGGTAACTAAAGACCTTGAGAAATTGAAGAACTTATTCAAACCAAGATGTATGCCTTCAGTTAGTAGTACTATAGCAGCTCCACTTTTTGAGCTTCTACCCTTATATTAACAATTGTCCCTATATTTACGCTTTTTTTTATTTTAGGCCACTGCTTTTTGTGGTTAAAGGAAGGTTTATATAATGAAAAATGTAAAGACGGCTTCATACAAAATTTAAAATAGTTTTAAAAAACACAACCAATGCCAAATCCATTTGCTATGAGGCAAATGGCCTCATATGGCCACAGCGCCGGCCAGAAAAAAAAATTTTAACAAATAAATTCAAGATATGAAAATGCATTTATAGGCCGGCGCCGCAGCTCAACAGGCTAATCCTCCACCTAGCGGCGCCAGCACACCGGGTTCTAGTCCCAGTTGGGGTGCTGGATTCTTTCCCGGTTGCCCCTCTTCCAGGCCAGCTCTCTGCTGTGGCCCGGGAAGGCAGTGGAGGATGGCCCAAGTGCTTGGGCCCTGCACACGCATGGGAGACCAGGAGAAGCACCTGGCTCCTGCCTTCGGATCAGCGCAGTGCGCCGGCCGTGGCGGCCATTGGAGGGTGAACCAACAGCAAAAGGAAGACCTTTCTCTCTGTCTGTCTCTCTCACTATCCACTCTGCCTGTCAAAAAAAAAAAAAAAAAAAAAAAAAGAGAAAATGTATTTATAAAAGATTTTTTTGATAAACCCATGGGTATAAAAATATGACAACATAAGAATCATCTGCCTTCATTTTTGTTTGCATTTCACCAATTTTCTCTGGTAAATATGAAATAATTTTATAGATAGAAAAAGCAGGCTAGGCCAGCGCTGTGGCTCACTAGGCTAATCTTCCACCTGCGGCGCCGGCACACCAGGTTCTAGTCCCGGCTAGGGCACTGGATTCTGTCCCGGTTGTTCCTCTTCCAGTCCAGCTCTCTGCTGTGGCCTGGGAGTGCAGTGGAGGATGGCCCAAGTGCTTAGGCCCTGCACCTGCATGGGAGACCAGGAGGAAGCACCTGGCTTCAGATTGGCACAGCATGCTGGCCATATCAGCCATTTGGTGGGTGAACCAATGGAAGGAAGACCTTTCTCTCTGTCTCTCTCTAACTCTGCCTGTCAAAGAAAAAAAAAAAAGCAAAGTTTTGTGTATTGTACTGTTTCACATACCTTGGTAGCTGTTACTGATGAAGTCAAGTTTGTAGGTTTGGAAGAGGACCCATTAGAACTTGCTGGTGATGTCTGAGCTACTACAGATTTACTGTTCGTACTGTTTGTTCCATTAGCAGCACTGGTAGAGTGCGAGAAAGTAAATTTGAAGCCACCAGAAGATGTCCTTTTGGGAAGGTTTTCCTTGTCTTCACTTTCTTTTGCTAAAGCAAAAGTAAAATTTTGAACTTGTATCAACAAATATTGCTAAGTCAAAGCATCTAAAATGAGTAATAATTTTAAAACTTGTGAAACACTGAATTTGTTTTCTAATAGCTAAAATAGGAAAGCATTATGTGTACAGTCATTACTCTTTATTAGCTAGAATCTTAGAAATCTTTAGGAAGGACCTTAAAAATCATGTAATGGGCTGGTACTGTGGTGCAGCAGGCTAAGCATCTGCCTGTGGCGCTAGCATCCCATATGGATGCTGGTTCATGTCCTGGCTGCTCTTCTTCCAATCCAGCTCTCTGCTTGTGGCCTGGGAAAGCAGTGGAAGATGGCACAGTATCTATGTGGGAGACCTGGAAGAAGCTCCTGGCTCTTAATTGGCTTCGGATTTGCCCAGCTCTGGCCATTTCAGTATTTGGGGAGTGAACAAGTGGATGGAAGACCTTTCTCTCTGTCTCTTCTCTCTGTAACTCTACCTCTCAAATCGTAAAAAAAAAAAAAAAAGAGGTGGAAACCTACCCTTTAAAAAAAATGTGTGGCAATGCTGAGGCATAGTGGGTTAAAGCCCTGGCCTGCAGTGCCAGCATCCCACATGGACACTGGTTTGAGTCCCAGCTGTTCCACTTCCTATCCAGCTCCCTGCTAATGTGCCTGGGAAAGCAACAGAGGATGGTCTAAGTGCTTGAACCATGTGGGGACCAGGAAGGAGCTCCTGGTTCCTGGATCAGGATCAGCTCAGCTCCAGCCATTGCAGCCATTTGGGGAGTGAACCATCAGTTGGAAGACCTCTCTCTCTCTGTCTCTCCTTCTCTCTGTGTAACTCTTTCAAATAAATAAATAAATCTTTTTTTAAAAAAAGATAATGACTGAGTTTTTCAGTCTCTTATTCCCTGAATAGCCCAAGTTCCTTTACTGGTTTCTATTACGGAGCAGGAATCTCTCTTCACATCTGGTTGTTCCTGTTTTTGTATATCACTCTTAACAGTGTGGCATCCCACACAGGATGGAGTACTTTAAGTATGATCTTATTGCTGCATCTGACATTAGTCAGGTAGTACATGTCAATAAAGACAGAATTTGATTTCCAAAGGGTAACTATTCCTTAGGACATTTTAATAGTCTCTCTGCTCCCTAGGCTGCAGTAAGGCATCTATTTGCTTGGGGAACAAACAAACTATCAAAGAGAAAAATTACTTCTTTGAGCTCAGCTTTCTCAGGGTGAAATGCCCTAGAAGTTTTCTGTGGATCTATATGGTCTCTATTTTTATTGGGGATTCAGGATAGAAAAAAAGCCAAGCCTATTCACGGAAGGCAAAGGACAAGTAGAATAAGTAATTTCTAAAAAACGAATAGCAAGTTTCAAGAAAAAAAATTTTTTTAATCAGGTAGAATTTGTATTCAAAATAAATATAGGTTCTGATTTCTGTCTGTGGAATAAAAGGGATGATATACAACTGATGAAAGAGTGGCTTGAACAACTTATTAAAAGGGGAACTTTCTTTGGTAGCTTTCGAACAGTATGAGGAGAAAGAGAAAACGCTTGTTGTGGGGATCAAGAGCCCTGGCTGCACTTGGGGAGATCTCCAGCCAGACTTAGTCTAAGTTCTTGCAAGACAAACATTTTAAACATGAGAAAAATTCCTATACAGATTTGGAAAATGGTAATTTTAAAGGGCATGCTTCAGTATAATATTTCTTGCTTTATAAGTGGTTTCTTGCTTTATAAGTGATGACCAGACTTTCACAAGCAACTGAGTAATTTCTGTACTAAGTAAAGGATGCACTACACAGAAATTCAGAATTTTAATACCTTTTTTCGTCTCCATAAACTTTTCATAGCTATCGGGAAAATCATCTTCTGGTTTAGATTTTTCAACTGGTGCTACAACTGCTTTTCCTTCCTCCTCTTCATCTTCATTAAACCACATTTCTTCATCCTCTTCCAAAGCTTTTGCATCTCTGCGAAATCTGTTACTACGCAATATAGATGGTACACTGTAAGAAATATATCACAAATATTGAGCAATGACTTAAAGTCCACAGATTAAATTTAAGGGGAGAATGTGTACAGTGAAGAGCAACTGAAGTAATTTACATGGAGTGTATTAACATGGAGTGTATTATGGCAAAATCATCTTAGTAATGACAAAAGATTTAGTTAGGGCACACTCCAAAATATTTTCAGATGCTGTAAACTACACTAAAAATTGATCATGAATTATAATTTGGGGTAGTAATTCATCATATAATGGATGCAAGTTAGGGGAGGACATTTTACCCTCCTGTATATACAATCCTATACTATCTTGTGATGGAAGGAAAATTCCTTGGTAAATTTCCCACGTAAGATCTAAACTACAGATGATTTTGGGACACAATTTTGTAGGCTATAAATGCAATACACTTAAACAATACCTGTTCAGTTTCTGACTTTGTCTGTCTTTTTCTTGCTCATATTTAGTCTTCAATCCTTTGAATGTCTGAACATATTCAATCGATTCAAGTGCTTTATAAAAGTTTTCAACTATATGTGCAGTAAGAGACTTGATATCTTCCTGTATAAGCACAAAATTTACAATTCAAATATAATACAAGGCTTGTTAGAAGAAAAACTTAAAATTTTTATGGTTCCAAAGATGATCAAAAAAGGTTTTTAAAAATCACCTTCCAAAAATAAATGTCCTAGTTTCTTTATACATGAGTCAGGAATCCACAGAAAACTTGGAAAAAGGCGAAGCAATTCATTAGAGCCCTTTTGGGGGACTATAAAGAACATTTGAAAAGTAAATGGATTTAGTTTAGGACTTCTATTTTTGCATTTATATGGCAATTTGTAATTTTTTGAGAAAAGCACTTTTATATACAACTTCATTTGATCCTCACAAGAACTCTATGAAGTAAATTTTATTTTCCCTAATTTTTTTTTTAAAGAAAACAAAACTGAGTGTCTAAATTGGATAGTTTGATCAAAAGCACACAGCTGGTTGGAAAGCAGATGTTCAAGTCACATTTTCAATGAACAGGTTTATTTGATGACTTCCTGTATAACTGATATCCAAAGGGGTTAAGTCTAACCTAAATAAAAATATGCACAGATTCCTTTAACTATCTCACTGGAAACAGGAATTGGGTTGTGAACTCTATACCTCATTTTATCAGTATTTTACTAAAATTTTAATGAAAGAAAACGTAAACAGTTCATTAAGAAAAGTTCTGATTCATTAGAACAGTATATTGAACCACGGTTCAGATATCTAGTGAGCTAGGTTACTTATATTCCTTGTTTTCTAACACTAATGCATAAATGCCTATACTTTGCATCCTTTCAAAATATGCTGGAAGATGAACACTCTTAGAAAAATAATCCAGTCAGTGAAATAAGTTTCATATGAGAATAGCATGTCATTAGCCAAAATATGATTTGTAAGAAATAAAACTAGAGAATGAATTTATAGCTTGGGCTTTTTTCCCCATTCTTTTCAACTATGTGGCCCTTTCTCTACTGAAGTAATTGTGTGTGTGTGTGTGTGTGTGTGTGTACAAAAGAGGTAAATTTTCTGTACTAATTCTAATTACCTGTCTTAAGCTTGTTACTCACAAGGAGCTACCTCTCTTCATATATAAATCTTTTATTTCCTGAAAATGAATAGGTAGGCATAGCTACAAGCGCTGACCCTGCTATTAACCAAATGGATGCTCCTGAATAAGTCATTTCATCAGTTGGGTGTTTTAATTCCCCCATCTATAAAATAAAGTAGCTGGAGTTGCCCATCTAACTTTCTGGTTTCTTCAGTTTAGAATTCCAGGATCCTGTCTTACCTTTATTTGCTTTACATGAATGTTTACGAAAGGAAATATTTTTCAAATTTCCATTCACTTTGTATTACCTCTCCTACAACAGAAAACCACTTTTTTCTTAAGAAATTAAGTGAGGGACAGGTGCTGTGGTGTAGTAGGCTAAATTTTTGCCTGCAGTGCCGACATCCCATATAGGCGCCGAATCAAGTCCCAACTGCTCCTCTTCCAATCCAGCTCTCTGCTATGGCCTGGAAAGCAGTAGAAGATGTTCCAAGTGCTTAGGCCCCTGCACCCTCATGGGAGTCCCATAAAAAACTCCTGGCTTTGGAATGGACCAGCTCCGGTCGCTGCAGCCATTTGGGGAGTGAACAATGGATGGAAAACTATTTTGTCTTTCCTTCTCTCTGTGTTTAACTCTACCTTGCAAACAAATACATAAATACATCTTAAAAAAAAAGAAATTAAATGAATGGCATACTTGAAAGAAATTTCCATATATGCTAGATGTGATCCTAAAATATTTGGGTCATAAAAACAGAACTAAGGGCCGGTGCCGCGGCTCAGTAGGCTAATCCTCCGCCTGCAGAGCCAGCACACCGGGTTCTAGTCCCAGTCGGGGTGCCAGATTCTGTTCCGGTTGCCCCTCTTCCAGGCCAGCTCTCTGCTGTGGCCCAGGAGTGCAGTGGAGGATGGCCCAAGTCCTTGGGCCCTGCACACCCACATGGGAGACCAGGAGAAGCACCTGGCTCCTGCCTTCGGATCAGCGCGGTGCGCCAGCTGTAGCGGCCATTGGAGGGTGAACCAATGGCAAAAAGGAACACCTTTCTCTCTGTCTCTCTCTCCCACTGTCCACTCTGTCAAAAAAAAAAAAAAAAAACAAAAAAAACAAAAAAACGGCACTGAGGGCCAGCACCGCGGCTCACTTGGTTAATCCTCCACCTGCGGTGCCGGCACCCCGGGTTCTAGTCCTGGTCAGGGCACCAGATTCTGTCCCGGTTGCTCCTCTTCCAGTCCAGCTCTCTGCTGTGGCCCGGGAAGGCAGTGGAGGATGGCCCAGGTGCTTGGGCCCTGCACCCGCATGGGAGACCAGGAGGAAGCACCTGGCTCCTGGCTTCGGATCCATGCAGCGCACCGGCCGCAATGCGCCGGCCGTAGTGGCCACTTGGGGGGCGAACCAACAGAAAAAGGAAGACCTTTCTTTCTTTCTCTCACTGTCTAACTCTGCCTGTCAAAAAGAAAAAAGGAACTGAGAAGACCGAGTGACCATAGGTTAAAAGACTGTGCTGAATTTCACTTTTAAATTTAATAAATTATTACCCACCACACAACTATAACCACATAGTAAAAAAGAATAAAAAAGTAACTGACTTTTAAAATCTGAGTTTATTAGAAATAGATTCTAACACATGGAATAAAACAACTTATGGAGAAGAGGGAAATGAAGAAATCACATTGTTTACATATAACTTATTAAGTGTTCTTTAGTATAAACTTACCACTCTTATAAATTCAAACAACTCAATAACAGCTGAATTTAACAGATTGTACCGAGTTCCATTATCCAGTAGAGCATTTATAACTGGCTCAAAAAGATTTCCTTTGGTGATGTAACGATTATAAAATTCATCTTTAAGGCCAATTATCCGCCTCATAAAGCGAAGAGCACCTAAGTAAAAGTAATACAGGAAGTTGATGATTTTATATATTATCCAGAGATTTCTGCCATAAAGGAATCACAATTTTTTCAAAATGAAAAGTAAAACTGTTCACTAAAAATAAATGAGCTTTTAGAAAAACAATTAGAAGACTAATCAAAACCTGTGTAACTTGGGGCAGGCATTGTAGTGCAACAGATTAAGCTGCCACCTGTGACATGGAGCAATCCATGCAAGCAGTGGTTCAAGTCCTGACTACTCCATTTCTGACCCAGCTCCCTGCTCATGTGCCTGTGGAAGTAGTGGAGGATGGCCAAGTGCTCGGGTTCCTGTCACCTATGTGGGAGAACTCAATGGAGTTTCCAGGTTCCAGGCTCCTGACTTCCTACTGTGGCCATCTGGGGAGCAAGCCAGTTCATGGAAGAGCTCTCTTTGTCTCTCTCCCTCTCTAACTGTGCCTTTTAAATAAATAAATAAGGCCGGCGCCGCGGCTCACTAGGCTAATCCTCCGCCTAGCGGCGCCGGCACACCGGGTTCTAGTCCCGGTTGGGGCGCCGGATTCTGTCCCGGTTGCCCCTCTTCCAGGCCAGCCCTCTGCTGTGGCCAGGGAGTGCAGTGGAGGATGGCCCAGGTGCTTGGGTCCTGCACCCCATGGGAGACCAGGAAAAGCACCTGGCTCCTGGCTCCTGCCATCGGATCAGCGCGGTGCGCCGGCCGCAGCGCGCCAGCCGCGGCGGCCATTGGAGGGTGAACCAACGGCAAAGGAAGACCTTTCTCTCTGTCTCTCTCTCTCTCACTGTCCACTCTGCCTGTCAAAAAAAATAAAAATAAAAAAATATAAAAAAAAAATTTAAATAAATAAATAAATCTTAAAAACAAAAACAGCAACAAGAAAAACCTGTACAACTTTGTGCCAGAGCTAAAAACAACAAAACAGTAATTTGTATCTTAGAGATAAGTAAACTACTCAAGCAAGCAGGTCCATGCAGAGATGCAAAAATATACAAAACCCATAGAATACAAATGGTAGCAGCTTTACAGTAGTGCTAGCAGATGCTGACACAGTGCAGTGAAGGCAGTTCTGAATCAGTGGGGGCTTTCATTAGGATGGAGACAGGAGTGGTACAACCTGCCAAGAGGTAAGGCTATCTTGCCTCTATAGAAGGGAAGGAGCTTTTGGAGGCAGATATATATAATTTAATTTTCTGAAAACACAGCTTATGGGTCTCCTGTTGCCAGTAACATAACATTTGTAAGCCAATGCTACTTCTACACATTATAATGACATCACTCCCTTGTTTATCAACTGAACACGACTATTCTGCCATAGGTAAATGGCAGTTGAGACTGTATATGTAACAGGACAACAGAGTAATGAATAAAAACATAATTTGCCTTTTCACATTTTATAAGAAATTTTCCTTTTAATTATCTTTTCCTTAGCTAAATAACCTTAGCAATATAAATGCTAAAATTCTTATGGAAGACAAAGAACTGTAATTTTAATTCTTTATTTCCGTATTTGTTGATCCTTTACTTGTAAACTTTTCCCTAAGTAGCTTAGTTTATTCCAAATACCAAATCATTAAAATACAAGCTTCCAATTTTTAAATTCAGTTGTCTTTATTTCAACCCTCTGTTAATAGATTGAAGTCATTAAATGAAGCCTCTTTCACAAGAGGTTCTAAGTATTACCTGAAAATAAAACAGATAAAGGCTATATAAGGCATATATGCTAAATGTGACACCAAAAAACATATGGATAAAGTGCTAGACTCTTCAAATCTCCTCATGTGATAAACAGCATATATGATGCTAAAAATAAAAGAAAAAACTAAATAACTTTAGATAGGTAACCATAGCTTTTATTTCTAATAAAATGTTGTTTCTTCAAACAGTTTACAACAACATTCATTTGAATTGTTACTTACACAAGGCCAGGAAAGTGTGCTTTGAATTCATCAAGACCAAGACTCTTCTTAGCAAATCCTTATTCATAATATAGTTTTTAATGTGGTATGTGTGATGTTCCACACAAAATGTGAGTAACTCTAAAATTAAGGCAAGTAGCTGTGCTGTTTGATAATTATCTATAAAAGAAAGTCATCTCATGAAAATAATAAAAATATTGTAAACTGAAAATAAAGCTTACATTCTGTATCTTAGGCCAAAGTTAAATTATTTATCCTTCATTTTTATATCTAATAAGTGCTATCAGTATTACTGCATCTATGAAAGGGTCCAAAGAGGAAATGCCTCAAACTTTTAGCCAAAAGCAGTAAATGCAAATTTCCCAAGAAAAATTTATATGCTTTATTTGAAGACCTGAAGGAAAGGATGTTTTTGGTTATTTGAATAGAGTAAAAATAACAGATCAAGATTTCTGAAGAAAATTTTTAAAGTATCAACTTATCATGTTCGTAAAGAGGCCTTCTGAAATAAAACAGCTTCAACAATGCTGCTTCAAGATGATTTGGTTTATATGAGGGTACTTCAAAAAGTTTACTGAAAATAGAATTAAATGGTGTTCTTGTACATTCATGGAATGATTTCATACTGCTTCTGTAACATCAAATTTTAATATATGCCAAGGATAATTTCACACTTGTAGTAAACGTGCTTTTAGGCTTTTAAAGTGTAAGGAAATTATAGAACCACAGCCTTATGGAAGATAAAAGATATCATTTAATAGAACTATTTTATTTACACAAGATTACACACATATATTCTGTAGAACTAAGATATTCTATCAGGAATAAATTAGCATTATTTTAAATAACAGAATGGCTATCAAATACACAAAACACAATCCTAGTACCATTTCTACTTTATATTCAAGAATAGTTATGTTTCCCATCATTAAAAATTTTTTTCTCAAGTTTCTAATTTACAAAAGAACTTTAAAAATTATCTACAGTGTTAAATATCTTGTTTTCACATTCCTGTAAGAAAAGAAATTACTTATATCTACTTAATACAAGCACTGAACAGTCATATTAGAAACTGGCTCTCCTGAAATTTGTTGAGCCTGGTACAGAAGACCTGCTGCTAGATGCACACATCACAGTTATCTCCCATGCTATCAGACCTATTTTGCTATTTATCTGTTCCAATTAAAACAACAGTGTTGGCCTGTGCTGCGGCTCACTTGGTTAATCCTCTGCCTGTGGCGCCGGCACCCTGGGTTCTAGTCCTGGTCAGGGCACCGGATTCTGTCCCAGTGTTGCTCCTCTTCCAGTCCAGCTCTCTGCTGTGGCCCGGGAGTGCAGTGGAGGATGGCCCAAGTGCTTGGGCCCTGCACCCGCATGGGAGACCAGGAGGAAGCACCTGGCTCCTGGCTTCGGATTGGTGCAGCGCACCAGCTGCAATGGCCATATGGAGGGTGAACCAATGGAAGGAAGACCTTTCTCTCTGTCTCTCTCTCTCACTGTCTAACTCTGCCTGTCAAAAATAAAAAAAAAATTAAAAACAAAACAACAACAACAACAGTGTTTGGAATCCAGACTCATGGACAATAAGCCTTAGGTTATCACAAAGACTAGTTCCTAAGTAAATGATAATAGTTTACTAGATTTAAAAAGAACTGTCTTCAACTTTCAATATGCTCTTAAAGCACTGTCATATAAGATAAGTTATAAATTTAAAAAGAAAAACAGAAACAAAATTCTCACTGGTTTTCCATCTTTTATATTGGAGGAAGTAGAAATTTTTTCCTTTGGAATAAATATAATATGAATCTATCCTTGGATATTTTTTGTTGAAAATATACTTTTCCTAGTCTTATATAAATGTATTATACTTAGTAGGAAAAAGCTTATAATTTGCATTATTTCATAAAATATAAATTTATACTTACCAGGACAAATTGTGTTATTTCTGTTAGGTCCAACTATATTATCTAACAAAAAGAAATGAAAACCAACTACTTCAGTAATAATATCTGACATTTCTAATACAAATCACACTTTCAATCATAAATCTCCCTAGGATAATCATTAAGAATTGGCTGACTTGGTCAAACACTATACCCCTACCTGAGGTCTTTAATGGAATTGAGTACAGATGTGGAATTATTAAAAGACAATACAGTATAGTATTTTTTTCTTAAAAGATTTATTTATTTATTTGAAAGGTAAAGTTACAGAGAGAAAGCGATCTTCAATCTGCTGGTTCACTCTCCAGGTGGCTACAATGGCCAGGGCTGGGCCAGTCCAATGCCAGGAGCCAGGAGCTCAAGTTCTTGGACCATCTTCCACTGCTTTCCCAAGCAAATTAGCAGGTAGCATCAGAAGTAGAGAAGCCAGGACATGAAACTGGCACCCATATATATGGGATGCCTGCAGCAGCTTTACTTGCTATGCCACAACAATGGCTTCAGCATAATTTGATTAAGGAAAAAATTACGGCTGGCGCCGCGGCTCACTAGGCTAATCCTCCACCTGCGGCGTTGGCACCCGGGGTTCTAGTCCCGGTCGGAGCGCCAGATTCTGTCCCAGTCGCTCCTCTTTCAGTCTAGCTCTCTGCTGTGGCCCAGGAGTGCAGTGGAGGATGGCCCAAGTACTTGGGCCCTGCACCCCATGGGAGACCAGGAGGAAGCACCTGGCTCCTGGCTTCAGATCAGCGCGGTGCTCTGGCCACAGTGGCCATTGAGGGGTGAACCAACGGCAAAGGAAGACCTTTCTCTCTGTCTCTCTCTCTCACTGTCTACTCTGCCTGTCAAAAAGAAAAAAAAAAAAAAAGAAAAGGAAAAAATTACAGCAGCTAGAGATAAAACTTGATATACTGACAGTGAGTGTTTTGTTCCAGTGGTTAAATTGCCAGTTGGGGCATTCATGTCCCACACGGGGGAGCCCTTGCTGGATTCCTGGCTCTGGCTCACGTTTCTAGCTTCCTGCCAATACAGACCCTGGGAGGCAGCAGCTTAGATTTATGTGGGAAACCTGGATTTAGTTCTGGCTCCTAGCTCCTTTAGTCAGGGCCAATCCTGGGCCTTTAAAGACATTTGGTAAGTGAGCTAGTGATGAAATCTGTCTCTGTGCCTCTCAAATAAATAAGAACTTCAAAAACAAACATAAAACCGCCTCCAAAAACAGATCTTCTTTTACCTTCTTGTATTTATCACTCAACAATTAGAATATGTCTCTGTATCACATTTTTAAAACTACAAAATACAGGCATTTTAAAACTTCCATAGTAACGCGTTAAAAATGCAGTATACATTGAGTTTTTTTTTAAATGTAAGTAGGTTATTATAATTAAGTTCTGATTTTTAGGCCCACATACTTGAGGAAATCTAATAAGCACATCTGCATTAGGGAACACAAGCATGTATGCTGGAACACTGTGGTAGCAAAAAGCTAGAAACAAATGTACATTAGTAGTGGAATGGTTGAATAAAAGCATACTCCTATAGAGAATTCCATGAAAGAGTTAAATGAGAACTCTAGGTACCAATAGGAATAGATCTCAAAAACAACTTTGGAGAAAAAGGAAAAAAAAAAAAGAAAATAATGTGTATAGGCATAAATTTCTATCAAATTTGAAAATATTAAGAATATTACCATATTATACACATAAAAACATAAGGAAATCTAGGAGTGATAAGCTCTAAATTAAGCATACTTACAGGGATAGGAGACTGGAAGAATGAGGGAAGGGAGAGTGGAAAAATGAGAATATGAAAGGGTACACAGCCAACTCCAACTTTTTCTGTAATGGAATTCTTTTAATTGCAAAAAGTTTAAAAAAATCTGCTACTAGTTTTAAGAAAGCCAATAAGGATGCAAGGGTGACTGTTACTATAATTTTCTGTTTGCTAGAAGTGTTTTACTTGAAAACGTTAAATATCCATTGTTTTAATTTACACGAATGGAACCATTCTGTAATAAAAACCTGCAATAGGTTTCTGTACCCATTCACCTTTCTATTTTAGAGAATAGAAATAGAAATTCATTGTAATTATTTTAAATGCTATAGAATATTCCATTATATAAGTACAACATTCTGTACTCATTTTCCTACCATAAACAATAAATGCAGTTAAATTCTTGTACACATGATGCAGATGTACAAACATGCCCTAGGTTAAATACTCAGAAAGGAATTGATAGCTTGCAGGCGGTGCCCAGTTTACTAATTTTCCAAACATTCTCTTAAATGATCTCTTAATTGATTAACCAGCACTTGCAGATAGTGGCCAATGCTTTTACAAGCTCCCACATAGCTGATTTCATCAACTGAGTTGCGTGTTTGTCAAGTTCCTTTGTTTACATTTTTATGTATGAGGGTGTCTTCAGCAAGTTCATGGAGAATGCATATGATGAAAAAACTATGTATGGATTTCAAACATTTTTTCAAACTAAAATGAACTTACCTTTTGATTACATTTCCATGAGCTTTCTGAAATACTTTGTTTTATGGCAGTATGGTAAAAAATTATAGTGATGAAATTTAAGATAACTATGTAATATCTATGGCTAAGTTAAATAAAGTAGAACTTAGTTTAAAAACTGACATCAAATTAGATACCTGCAACTATAAAAACCTGGAAGGATACTTAAAATCGGATTCTGTGCTGAGACTGCTTAAAAAATATCTTTAGGTTTTTACTCCACTTAACAAACTGAAACCAGAAATTGTAGCTGATGAATTATGGGTACACTTAATCCAACAAAGGTAATATGGAAATTAAGTAAAATACACTCTAAAAAACAACTTGCTCTAATATACTGGCATAATTTTATATTTAGAAGTTAAGATATTTAAAGAGTTCATGTTTCTTAAAAATGATTTCTCACCCTAACCAACTTATCTGATTAACCCACCTATTTCTGATCCTGATGTTGTGGATTGAGGGCCTTCACTTCATTTCACTGTGCCAAGTTTTTCTAAAAAATGATGGTTCCCTAGATTTTTGAAATATAGGTGATATACTTACTGTCTGCTCCTGTATGTCATTCTATATGTCAATTCTAACAACTTCAGGGATAATCTCTTTGCCAAGTATCTACATCTCTATTTTTCAGTGTGTAATAATACATTTTGCCACATTTGCTATGTCATTCTCTTCTATAAATACTCAGAAAAAAGGAAAATCCTGATTTTATATTGCAGCTTGAAACTTTCAGTAGTGGGGGCTGGCGCTGTAGAGTAGAAGGTTAAGCCTCCACCTATATGGCCAGCATCCCATATGGGCACTGGTTTGAGTCCCAGCTGCTCCACTTCCCATCCAGGTCCCTGGCTAATGCACCTGGAAAAGCAGCAGAAAACCCAAGTGCTTGGGCCTCTGCACCCAAGTAGGAGACCATCAGAAGTTCCTGGCTCCTGGTTTCGGTCTGGCTCAGCCCCAGCTGTTGCGGCCATTTGGGGAATGACCCAGCAGATGGAAAATCTCTCTCCTTCTCTCTTTGTATCTCTGCCTTTCAAATAAATAAATAAATAAAATCTTAAAAACATTTTTTCAGTAGTTTCTGTGTCATATAAAGTATCCGTTAACTTTAAAAATTATTTCATCCTTCTATAAAAACAGGAATCATAAGTAGATAGATAAGAGACCCTACCCTTTTCACATTTGTCTTCTGAAGTATTGGTCAAAAGTGGTGCTGTGAGGACATGCATACAATGGTTGTAGAAGAAATTTAGAAATTCGCTTTTTTCAGTTTTCTGAAATAGAATAAAAACAAAATATTGTTACCTTTGAAATTAGTAAAACATTTTCAAGAATTAGCAGTACAGGTCATATAAAAATAGAAAATGCTTTAAGATATTGTAAAAGAGCTAAAAGTTATTTATACACTATAAAAGAACCAAAAAGCTAGTTAAGTTCACTTTAATATGATTTATGAGGAACTGAAGTCTATTTCATGTTATATTTTAAAGAGAACTGAAAGCAAAAAAAAATCACACAGCGTCACAAAGCTTTTCTGAGAAGTCATTTAGACCAATTTTTTTCAAAAGAAGCCTGTGATATGAAATGTAATGAACAATCAATTTTTTATATAACCCAGTGACTAATGTTAACAAAATCCAAGTAATGTATGTGTCAGAACAGCGTGCATCATAATCAACACTGTTGACCATCTGTCTCTTTTTGTACAGTGTACTGATTTTTCCGAAAAATATAAAATTTTTATGAAATTACCTCTTCTTTAAAAACATTAGCATTCAAATGTAAAAATAAAATCACAATCAAATCTGTTTCTAAAAGCAGAATAAACAAACAATTAAAAAACTATAAAACAAAAATAAAAACTGATCAAGCCACATGAAAGAATTGCTTAAATTTTGGAACCCCAGATTTTACCTCATTTCAGAATCTTAAAAACTCCTCAATGAATTTATCAAGCGACTAGATGAATATATGAGATTTAAATCTATGTTTCAAATTTCCAAATTTTGTAATTTGGAAAATAATACCTGTGGATTTTTAGCCAATATTTTTCACATAATTGGACTCACAAACATTTGTAATGATCTGAAAATAATACACACATTTTCTAATACTGAGGTAATTTTATAAAGAAAAATATGCCTCTATATTGAGACAACCATTATTAACATTTTGGAATAATTCTTTAAACCTTTTTTTTATGAGTTACACAGTTGAACTCATTTGTTACGGATTAATTTTTTTCTTTTTATTGTGATAAAACTACATGACACAAAAGTTATGTCTTATTTACATTTTTTTAAATTTTTATTTAATGAATATAAATTTCCAAAGTACAGCTTATGGATTACAATGGCTTCTCCCCCATAACGTCCCTCCCACCCGCAACCCTCCCCTTTCCCATTCCCTCTCCCCTTCCATTCACATGAGGATTCATTTTCAATTCTCTTTATATACAGAAGATCAGTTTAGCACACATTAAGTAAAGATTTCAACAGTTTGCTCCCACACAGAAACATAAAGTGAAAAATAATAGATGATTTTTTAAATGATGATGAAATCAGATCAGACCTATTGTCATGTTTAATCCCAGCGAGAGTCAAGTTGGGAATTGCTAATTTCTTCTTTTTTTTTTTTTAACAGAAGAACAGTTTAGTATACATTAAGTAAAGATTTCCACAGTTTGCACCCCCATAGAAACACAAAGTGAAAAATACTGTTTGAGTACTCATTATAGCATTAAATCTCAATGTACAGCACATTAAGGACAGAGATCCTACATGAGGAGTAAGTGCACAGTGACTCCTGTTGTTGACTTTACAAATTGACACTCCTGTTGTTGACTTTACAAATTGACACTCCTGTTGTTGACTTTACAAATTGACACTCCTGTTTATGGCATCAGTAATCTCCCTATGCACCAGTCATGAGTTTCCAAGGCTATGGAAGCCCCTTGAGTTCTCCGACTCTTATCTTGTTTAGACAAGGTCATAGTCAAAGTGGAGGTTCTCTCCTCCCTTCAGAGAAAGGTACCTCCTTCTTTGAAGACCTGTTCTTTCCACTGGGATCTCACTCATGGAGATCTTTCATTTAGGTGTTTGTTTGTTTGTTTTGCCGGAGTGTCTTGGCTTTCCATGCCTGAAATACTCTCATGGGCTTTTCAGCCGGATCCGCATGCCTTTAGGGCTGATTCTGAGGCCAGAGTGCTGTTTAGGACATCCGCCATTCTATGGGTCTGCTGAGTATCTCGCTTCCCATGTTGGATCACTCTCCCCTTTATTTATTCTAATCGGTTAGTATTAGCAGGTACTAGACTTGTTTATGTGCTCCCTTTGACACTTAGTCCTTTCATTATCATCAATTGTGAACAGAAATTGATCACTTGGAATAGTGAGATGGCATTGGTACATGCCACCTTGATGGGATTGAATTGGAGTCCCCTGGTATGTTTCTAACTCTACCATTTGGGGCAAGTCAGCTTGAGCATGTCCCAAATTGTACATCTCTTCCCTCTCTTATCCCCACTCTTATGTTTAACAGGGATCACATTTCAGTTAAATTTCAACACTTAAGAATAACTTAAAAAAAACGGTGACTTGATCAGCATAGCCCTGACTATTAATGAACAACTTAATACATTATCCCTCTTAGTAGTTTTTTTGTCTGTTCTACTTAATATGACTGGTTTAATTCTGTAATTAATACACAGTTATTCTTATTTACATTTTTAAAGGTGTACAGTTTACTGGTGTTAAGTATATTCCCATTGTATGTCAATTTAAGTGAATATATATGTCAAAGACCATAAATGGCATCCTTAAGATTTTGACAAATCATAATATTTTTTCTGCAAATAAAACTGCTATAATTTCACTCCCATCTGAATGACAAAATACAAATGTTTACCTACGTATTTATTGATTCTCAAACGTTATTAAAAAACCATCCCAAACTGACTAGTCCATAACACATTTATCTTAGGGTTGATTTCTTACGTTAGTTGTAGCTAGCATGTTCTCTGGATCAATTAGAGTACGAAGAAGTCCCATTAACTGAACAGCACCTCCAAGTTCAGGATCAGTATCACAGATCATTTGTTCAATTACTACATTAATAAGAAGAATATCCTGAAAGAAAACACATTTTCATTAGACTGGTTTTGATGTAATACAAATAAATAACTCAAAGAATTAAATCAAAATCATACAAAGAATAAACAAAGAAGGGAAGGCTTATTTAAATTTTTTCTTCCTAATGTTTTCAAAGTTCTAGGTACTTACTTGAGTGGAAAAACTTTACTCCAGAGTGAACAAACAAGTGGAAACATAATAACCAGTGATGAGTTCTCTGGAGGTTTTAACAGATTCTCATTCTAGGTTTCAGCCTCAGGAATGAATTTAGAAGTTAACTAAACAAGCAGATCACCTAACTAGAAAACACTTTCTAGCCAAAAAATACAAAAACAAATAAAAAAAAGGTTAAGAACCCAGTATGCAGCTCTTCATGGGAGGTGAGTGAACGCTGTGTTATAATCTACTGTTAAGTAGATTTATTGTTATAGTAATAACACATTATTAGGCTTTTATTTTTTATTTTTGACAGGCAGAGTGGACAGTGAGAGAGAGAGACAGAGAGAAAGGTTTTCCTTTTGCCCTTGGTTCACCCTCCAATGGCCGCCGCACTGCGCTGATCCGATGGCAGGAGCCAGGTACTTATCCTGGTTTCCCATGGGGTGCAGGGCCCAAGCACTTGGGCCATCCTCCACTGCACTCCCGGGGCACAGCAGAGAGCTGGCCTGGAAGAGGGGCAACCAGGACAGAATCCAGTGCCCCGACCGGGACTAGAACCCAGTGTGCCGGCGCCGCAAGGCAGAGGATTAGCCTAGTGAGCCACGGCGCTGGCCACTATTAAGCTTTAAAATAAAGAACCCCAAAGAAGCTTATACATATAAAATTTATCAGCATTATGCTATAAAAAGTCTAACATCAACTTAGTACATTTAAAAATATAAGTCATGTATCACTTAATAATGGGACACATTGAGAAATGTGTTATTAGGCCATTTAGTTAACATCATAGAGTAAATATATATATACATATATATTTATATATATATAAATATGATACAGCCCATTGCTCCTAGAGTCACAAGCAACAAAACACTTTAAGATTAAATCAGGAGTCGGGGCGCTGGATTCTGTCCCAGTTGCTCCTCTTCCAGGCCAGCTCTCTGCTCTGCCCTGGGAGTGCAGTGGAGGATGGCCCAAGTTATTGGGCCCTGCACCCGCATGGGAGACCAGAAGCACCTGGCTCCTGGCTTCAGTTCAGCGCGGTGTGCCGGCTGCAGCGCTCTGGCTGCGGCGGCCATTGGAGGGTGAACCAACGGCCAAGGAAGACCTTTCTCTCTGTCTCTCTCACTGTCTACTCTGCCTGTCAAAAAGAAAAAAAAGAAAAGGAAAAAAAAAAAAGATTAAATCAGGGGTCAGCGCCATGGTGCAGTTGGTTAATCCTCCGCCTGCAGCGCCAGCATTTCATACGGGTGTCGGTCCTAGTCCTGGCTACTCCTCTTCCAATCCAGCTCTCTGCTGTGAAGTAGGAAAGCAGTGGAAGATGGCCCAAGTCCTTGGGCTCCTGCACCCACACAGGAGTCCAGGAGGAGGCGCCTGGCTCCTGGCTTCAGATTGGCACAGCTCCGGCTGTTGCAGCCACTGGGGAATGAACCGGACAGAAGACCTTTCTCTCTGTGTCTCCCTCTCATTGTCTGTAACTCTACCTTTCAAATAAATAAATCCTTAAAAAGATTAAATGAAGCACAAGAGAAAAAGATGTGATTGACAGAAGAAGCAAATGCAAGCTACACGAGGTTGCTGTAGACATAATTGATGTACTTCTTTTTTTTTTAAGATTTATTTATTTATTTATTTATTTGAGAGGTAGAATTACAGAGAGAGAGACATAGAGAAAGGTCTTCCTTCCACTGGTTCACTCCCCAGATGGCCGCAACAGCCAGAGCTGCGCCGATCTGAAGCCAGGTGCCAGTGCCGCAGGCGGATGATTAACCTACTGCGCCATGGCGCCGGCCCCAATAACTGATGTACTTTTTTAAAGTAACCTTCAATAAGCAAGAGTACTCTCTAATCTCATGGACCACCATAACAGATTATTAGGTCCAGGGTATATATGGATTCAAACAACTGCAGATCAGAAATACTGGAAAACTGAATCTGTAACTGGGAATGCAGACTTTTTCCTTACCATCATTCCCTAAACAATGCAAGTATTGCAGCTACTCACATGCCATTTACACTGCATTACATATTATAAGGAATCAAGAGATGATGTATAGGTTATATGCCAATACTACACCATGTTACATAAGGGACTTGAACATCACAGATTTTGATGTTCATCGCTGAGAATGTCCTCACACTAATCTCCCATGGATACTGAGGGACAACTGATATTGAGGAACAACTGGTACATTTCTTCCTTTCCTTTCTCCCTTCCCTTCCTTTTACTTAAAAGTCAGTGTTATAGAAAGAGAGCCCTTTCCAGGCTACTAGCAAGGAGCTGGGTGTGAAGTGGAACAGCCTGGACATGAACCGGTGCTGATATGGGATGCCAGTGTCGCAGGAGATAGCTTCACCTGCCACACCACAAAGCCGGCCCCTATCTTAATTTTCTTAGACATAGTAAACACTTCAGGACACATTCAATTTCGTTTCTCCAACAATCATTTCACTTAGGTCAGAAAACTCATACATAGGCAGTTGCATCAGGATAACAAGGATGTTAAGTCAAGCAATGACTTAATCTAAGCCATTTAAACAGCAATGCTAGTGAACTAATTCTAATGTGGAAGCACCAAAGTCTAATCTAGAGAACATTCTCCTAGGTCTGTAGTCTCAAAAGGTACCAAATACTTCCAGCCCATTAATGTCTGCTTCCCTCCTCTGATCTCTTGCTTTCCTCAAGCTGCCACTTTAGCTTCTGCATTTATAAACCTGAATTCAGAATCAGCCCTTTACCACCACTATCATTGTCTACAGTACTCTGAGAAAGGAGTCAAGTCAGGAATTGGCAAACTACAAAACTACCTGATTGGCTTGCCTGCTTTGTTAGTTCTACAGTAAAATGTTTGTTGGAACACAGTCACATCAATTCATTTTCAAGTTGTTAAGGTCTAACTAATGCTACAGTAGTAGTATGCAGTAGTAAGTAGTAACAAAGATCACAGAGCCTAAAACATCGTTATTTACTTTCTCGTCCTTGCAGAATAACAGTGTGTGAGTTTAACCACAGTTTCTAAAGGACATTTCAAAGTTTTAATTAAAATAATTGGCAAGGGGGCCAGCGTGGTGGTGCACTAGGTTAATCCTCTGCACGCGGGCCGGCATCCCATATGGGCACGAGGTTCTAGTCCCAGTTGCTCTTCTTCCAGTCCAGCTCTCTGCTGTGGCCCGGGAGGGCAATGGAGGATTGGCCAAGTGCTTGGGTGCCTGCACCCGTGTGGGAGACCAGGAAAGAAGCTCCTGGCTTCGTATTGGCGTAGCTCCGGCCGTGGCGGCCATTTGGGGAGTGAATCAATGGAAGGAAGACCTTTCTCTCTGTCTGTAACTCTACTTGTCAAATAAATAAATAAAAATCTTAAAAAAAAAATTGGCAACACAAGGGAAGTTCTGGGTACTTATGCCTAGAACTCCAAAATGATTCAGATTCTAAGGCAGTATCTCTATTTTGACTGGGAAAGACAACAAAATACTTTATTTCACTGATTCTAAAATTTCCTAAAAAGTTTAACTTCTTGCAATTGAGATACATCATGCAATTGATGGCATTCTACAGTCACTATCAGTCAAATGTTAAACATGACAAAATTATATGAAAATCTTCTGACATTTTCTAGTAAGATCCAGAAAGTAACAGTATTTGTGTATCTTACATTCAATGAAGACAATAAACATGAGAAAAAAGAATGGCAATAGCAGGGAGAATATTCTGGAGAGAAAAAAAAGTAACTCATGGATGTTGCAGAAATATTTCTAGTTTTTACATACCAGGGGATTCCAATTCAATCCCATCAAGGTGGCATGTACCAATGGCATCTCACTAGTCCAAGTGATCAATTTCTGTTCACAATTGATGATAATGAAAGGACTAAGAGTCAAAGGGATCGCATAAACAAGTCTAGTACCTGCTAATACTAACCGATAGAATAAATAAAGGGGAGAGTGATCCAACATGGGAAGCGAGATACTCAGCAGACCCATAGAATGGCGGATGTCCTAAACAGCACTCTGGCCTCAGAATCAGCCCTAAAGGCATGCGGATCCGGCTGAAAAGCCCATGAGAGTATTTCAGGCATGGAAAGCCAAGACACTCTGGCAAAACAAACAAACAAACAAACAAACACCTAAATGAAAGATCTCTGTGAGTGAGATCCCAGTGGAAAGAACAGGTCTTCAAAGAAGGAGGTACCTTTCTCTGAAGGGAGGAGAGAACCTCCACTTTGACTATGACCTTATCTAAATAACGTAAGAGTTGATGAACTCGGCCGGCGCCGCGGCTCAATAGGCTAATCCTCCGCCTAGCGGCGCCGGCACACCGGGTTCTAATCCCGGTCGGGGCGCCGGATTCTGTCCCGGTTGCCCCTCTTCCAGGCCAGCCCTCTGCTGTGGCCAGGGAGTGCAGTGGAGGATGACCCAGGTGCTGGGCCCTGCACCCCATGGGAGACCAGGAAAAGCACCTGGCTCCTGGCTCCTGCCATCGGATCAGCGCGGTGCGCCGGCCGCAGTGCGCCGGCCGCGGCGGCCATTGGAGGGTGAACCAACGGCAAAGGAAGACCTTTCTCTCTGTCTCTCTCTCTCACTGTCCACTCTGCCTGTCAAAAAAAAAAAAAAAAAAAAAAAAAGAGTCGATGAACTCAAAAGGCTTCCATAGCCTTGGAAACTCATGACTGGAGCATAGGGAGATTACTGACGCCATAAACAAGAGTGTCAATTTGTTAAGTCAACAACAGGAGTCACTGTGCACTTACTCCTCATGTAGGATCTCTGTCCTTAATGTGCTGTACATTGAGATTTAATGCTATAACGAGTACTCAAACAGTATTTTTCACTTTGTGTTTCTATGTGGGTACAAACTGTTGAAATCTTTACTTAATGTATACTAAACTGATCTTCTGTATATATAGAAAATTGAAAATGAATCTTGATATGAATGGAAGGGAGAGAGAGCGGGAAAGGGGAGGGTTACGGGTGGGAGGGAAGTCATTGGGTGGGGGGAAGCCAATGTAATCCATAAGCTGTACTTTGGAAATCTATATTCATTAAATAAAAGTTAAAAAAAAGAGAAATATTTCTAGTTTTTAAACACAAATGTAAAAATTTAATAAAAACTCATATAATTTGCATTACAGCAACTTGTATGAATACTGCAAGTATATACAGAATATGTAACATTAAAACATTTACAAGGGAACTTCGAAGAGTTCATAGAAAGTGGAATTAATGGATACTTTTATTTTGGTGCAAAATTTTTAACTCCATGCATATGAGGGATCTTCAAAATCATTCATGGAAAATGCATACTATGAAAGGAGGAAATGCAGGGAGTTAAAAAATTTGTTGCAACAAAATAAACTCATCTTTAAATTCCATTTTTAACAAAATTTTTGAAGTATTCATGTATATTCACATTTACATAAAATCAGTACTTTCAAGCCATATTAACACATTAGAAGAGCACAAATAGCTCATCAATTTTTTTAAAAGATTTATTTATGTGAAAGGCAGACAGAGTAATGGAGAGGGTGAGAAGGAAGGATGGAGGAAGGCATGTAGAGAGAGAGATCAATCTTCTATTTACTGGTTCACTCTCCAAATGGCTACAATGGACAGGTATGGGCCATGCCAAAGCCAGAAGCCAGGAACTCCATTTGGATATACCACACAGGTGGCAGGGTAGACCATCATCCACTCTCTTCCCAGATGTATTAGCAGGAAGCTGGATGGAAACCAGAGCAGCCAGGCCTCACCCCAGCACTCCCATATGGGATGCAGACATCACAAGCGGCAGCTTAACGCATTGCTCCACAATGCTAGCCTAACAGCTCCTCAAATACTGTAAAGAACTTAGTGGTCCAAACTCCAGAAGTCTATGAAATGGCAAAACAGCATGGACAAAGAAAACTTAGCTACTTTTAAAATTTATGGTTATTTTCTGACCATGAACATAATAAACAATTAGCTCCCAGAACTCTTCTCTCTCCTTCTCTAACTCCGCCTATCAAATGAATAAATATCTTCTTTAATAAATAACAAATAATTAATAAATAAATCTCTTAAGAAACTGCAATCACTGAGGTCTTTGATTTTACTGGATTTTTTGCGATCTAACAGTTTTATAGCTTAAATGGAATAGATAAGAATTTTTTTGGGTCACATCACAAAAGGACAGGAAACAAAGATTACATCAAACCAAAGCGCTTTTTGTGCAGCAAAAGAAACAATCAATAAAGAGACAGGATATATAATGAGAAAGTATTTGCAAACTATCCACTTGACATGAGGTTAATATTCAGAATATATAAGGAACTCAAACATCACTATACCAAGAAAACAAATAATCCAGTTAAACAATGGGCAGCAGACCTAAATAGATACTTTCCAAAGGAAGACATGAAAATAGCTAGTAGGTATATGGAAATAGCCAGTAGGTATATGGAAAAATGCAAGTCAAAATCATAATTAAATATTTCCTTTTTAGATAGAATGGCTATTATCAAAAAGACAAAAGACAATGCTGGAAAGGATGTGAAGAAAAGAAAACCCTTGCACACTGTTGATGGCAATGTTAATTAGTATGGATATTGCAGCAAACAGTATGGAGGTTCCTCAAAAATTAAAAACAGTACTGCCAGCCATATGATTTAGCTCACTGCTGACTACATAAACATCTAAAGGAAACGAAGGCAGTCTGCTGAAAAGACATCTGCATGTCCATATTTATTTCAGCACTATTCACAGCAGTCAAGAAATACAAACAACTTAAGTGTTGATTAACTGATGAATGGTTAAAAAAATGCAGTACATATACACAATGGAATGCTATTCAGACATTAAAAAAGGTGAAATCCTGTCACTTATAACATGTAGATTGAACTGGAGGATATTATGTTGAATGAAATAAGCCAAGCACAGAAAGACAAGTACCATATGATCTCACCCATAATGGAAATCAAAATGGCTGCCCTCTTACACTGACAGCATAATAGTCCTTTGCAGAGGTGGGGAGATGGGGGCTGACGGATTAAGAAAGGTTGCTCAGTGGGTATTAAGTTACAGTTAGAGACAAGTTCTAATGTTCTATTTCATAGCAGAGTAACTAAAGATGATAATGATAATGAATTGTGTTTCAAAAAGCTAGAATAAAGAATTTCAAATATTTTCTCACATGAAACAATGTTTGAAGAGATAGAATATCATGATTTGAACATTACATAATGTATGCATATACTGAAATATCACATTGATGCATCTCATATGTAAGTACAATTTTTATGTGTCAGTTAAAAAACTAAAGTAGACCATAGGAGGCAGCATAGGATGGCTCATGTAGTTGGCTCCCTGCTACCCATGTGGCAGACCTGGACTGTATTCTTGTCTCCCAGTTTTGGCCCTATCCTAGCATTGCAGCTATCTGGGAAGTGAAGCAGTGGATGGACAGTGTCTGTTTGCCTCTCAAATAAATTAAAAAACAAAAATAAAAAGTATATATTGCATGTTCATTTTTTACTTAAAATAATTTAAAGGGAAAGTTCAGATATTTCTATTCTAGGAAGATCACATTGGTCTCATTATTGATCTTTCCAATCTTAAAAAGAAAAATTTGAGCAAATGAAAGCAACTTCTTAGTTATATGTAACTAGTTATACTAGTTAACTACCTGAAATGCAAATCCCCCAATGGTATATAATTCTACTACATTAGTACTCAAAAAATTTTTGTTTTAAAGATTTATTTATTTATTTGAAAGGCAGAGTTACAGAGAGGCAGAGGCAGAGAGAGGGAGGGAGAGATTTTCCACCAGTTGGTTCACTCCCCAGATGGCCACAATGGTTGGAGCTGGGCCGATTCAAAGCCAGGAGCCAGGAGCCAGGAGCCAGGAGCCAGGAGCCAGGAGCCAGGAGCCAGGAGCCAGGAGCCAGGAGCCAGGAGCCAGGAGCCAGGTCTCCCAAGTGGTTGCAGGGGCCTAAGGATTTCTACTGCTTTCCCAGCAGTAGAGAGCTAGATCAGCTACAGCAGAGAGCTAGATCAGAAGTGGAGCAGCTGGGACTTGAACCACTGCCCACATGGGATGCTGGCACTGCAGGTGATAGCTTTACCCACTACACCACAGTGCCAGCCCCAGTAATTCAAAATTTTTAAAGACCAATATTTAAGAATCAAATTCTATTATAATCTACTTACCTATGGTATGGATATTTGCTTTTTCTTTACAAAAAACAAGTCAATTGTCACAAATCCTATGATATCAAAGTCACACCTGATCATAAATCTATTAGTCTGTTGTTAAAAAGATCAAGACTAAAGATATGTTTCCTCTGTCAGCAGTTTGCATTCACTACTCTACAGGTAATTCATACAGAACCACAGCATTATTACTTACATCGTCACTTTGTTGGGCTTCTTGCATTACAAACTCTCGGACCATAGATGGACTAAACTCTACTAGATAAGAAAATATATCTGTAGCAGCTGATCTGACTTGCAAATCATCCATGCCCTGAAAAAAAGGAAAACTACATTACTTACAGAATGTTCACAAATGTTTTGGTTGTATCTCATTTTTTTCTCAAATCTATGTACTCTCATTCATCTTTTTGGATTAAGATATTACACAGCAATGAAAATATTATGTTTCCAACAGTTTCTTCCTTCCTTTTCACAAATAGTGCATCTCTTGAGCAGCTCAATGATTAAAAACCAGTTTCTGCTGGTTTTTAATACTGCAAAGAAATGCTCAGAAAACTTAAATGTAAAAACAGCATAGGATTATAAAGCAATGTTTTAAAAATGCTGAAAGAAATCGGAGAAGATAATTTACTTAAATATATGCAAAACTCTGAAAAACATTCCTTATATCCCATAGGTAAGGCTGCAAAGCCTTCCAGAATCTGTCTTTTGTTCTCGATTTGCTGGGATTACTCTAGTATTTCTGTGACTTGCTAAATTAGGATGTTCTTTGAAAGCATTTTTTGAGATGCCAGTGTTGAGGTGCAGCAAGCTAAACTGCTGCCTGCCAGACACTGGAGTGCTGGTTTGAGTCCTGGCTGCTCCAGTTTCTACCCAGCTCCTGCTAATGGACCTGAGAAACCAGTGGGAGATGGTCCAAATAGTTGGGCCCTGCTGCCCACATGGGAGACCTGGGTGGAGTTCTGGGATCCTGGTTTCAGCCTGGCCCGGCATTGGCTGTTGAGGCCATTTGGGCAGTGAACCAGCAGATGGAAGACCTCTTTCTCTCTCTCCCTCCCTGTCTCTCTGTAACTCTTTATTTCAAATAAATAAAGAAATCTTTAGGTGAAGGAGGAAAACACTTTTTGCCTAAAATACTTTTCCCCCTCTAACACATGAAGGGTACAGGAATCATAAATTGCTCCCTGCTGAGGTGCCTGGGACAGTAGCGGAGGATGGTCCATGTGAGAGACTCAGAAGAAGCTCTTTCAAAACAAAAAAAGTGGGGACCAGGGATGCAGCAAAGCAGGTTAAGCCTCCACCCGTGACACCAGCATACTGTTTGGGGGCTGATTCAAGATCCAGCTCCCTGCTAATGGGCCTGGGAAAGCAGTGGAAGATGGTCCAAGTCCTTGGACCCCTGCACCCATGTGGGAGAACTGGAGGAAGCTAATGGCTCCTAGCTTTGGCCTGACCTGGTTGTTGTGGTCATTTTGGGTAGTGAACCAGCAGATGAAAGATCTTTCTGTTTCTCCTTCAACTCTGTGGGGTGGGGCAGTGCTGTGGCATAGCAGCATATGTCACTGTCTGCAGCATGGGCATTCCATATGAGCACCAGTTCAAGTCCTGGCTACTCCAATTTTGATCTAGCTCCCTACTAATGTGTCTGGGAAAACAGTGGAGGATGGCCCAAGTGCTCCTGTACCCATGTGGGAGACCTGGATGAAACTCCTGGCTCCTGGCTTTGGCCTCCAGCTCTGGCCACTGTGGTCATTTGGGGAGTGAACCAATGGATGGAAGATCTCTCTCTCCCCTGCTGTTTCCATATTTCCAACTTTCAAATAAATAAAAAAATTTTAAAAAATGGTAATTTTTCTTATTTACTTTTTTCTTTTAAAAAATTATTTTTTCATGAGTTATATATTTTATGTTAACATTTTACAGGTTATTCTTTTAAAATTAATTAACACTTTAATATTTCTGCTTTAATTTTTCATATGCTAAATATCAGTGAGTAGATATGTAAACAAATGTCTGAGAACCATGCCCATACTGTAGAAATCAGTCCTCTTGGTTCAGTCTGTCCTACTTGACAAACTGGTCTAAAGAGGAACATTTCCTTGGTTTCTTTGAAACATATTCAATATTTCTAAAGAAAAGGCAACAGTCTTACAAATACATGGGAGTTCTAGTCACCTGAAGCCATACTGCATATAACAGATTACATATAAATTACAAAATAATAAAAATTTGAAAATACTGTTATAGAAATTCTGTTTTATAATTCTGAATTATAAACTACAGGATTCAATAGGCTGTACTGTAATAAATATTTTCACATTCAGAATAAAGATCACAAATTTATAGTTTCATAGGCATGAAAAGAATTGGTATAATTACCATTACAATTTCAAGAGCAGGAAGGATTCCCAATTTTGCCAAAGTTTTGAAAAATGCATCCCTGTTTTGAGGTTGTAATGTCTGAGAAAATGCACAAAATTCCTTGAAAAAATTAACCTGCAATGTTAAAAATTACTGTGAGAAGTTGATAAAAATAAACTTGGGTTATATTATAGCGTCTGTAACAGCATAAAAGCCACCTTTCTGAAAGATTTTGTATTTTCAGAGTATCCTGGCTACCAAAACCACCACTGAGAACAAAAGTTAGCATTTCATAATAGCAAACCTTAGATTATTTCTCAAACACTAACAAATTATCTCTCTAAAGAAACTACTGGGCAAAAATGCTATGTAAGACATTTGTTTTCAGTGAAGATCCTATATTTTCACAAAAATCATCATATGATAAACTGTGGCTGGGTTCTCAGGGAGCTCTTGAAAATATGATATAACTTTAAGAACTGTAAAGGACAGCAGAGATTCCCTAGACTTAACTTTACAAATGAGAAAATTAAGTGGGCTATTATTAAGTAACTATACCAAAGAGGACTTCAATATTTTTAAGACAGTGATATTTCACTATTTTGTAAAATTTCCAAATCCAATTACAATGGTGAAGAAAATGCAGGGGCCAGCGCTGTGACGCAGCAGGTTAACGGCCAGGCTGGCAGCACTGGCATCCCATATGGGTGAAGGTTCTAGTCCCGGCTGTTCCTCTTCCGATCCAGCTCTCTGCTATGGCCTGGGAAAGCAGTAGAAGATGGCCCAAGTCCTTGGGCCTCTGCACCTGCATGGGAGACCCGGAAGAAGCTCCTGGCTCCTGGCTTCGGATTGGCGAAGCTCTGGCTGTTGCGGCCATCTGGGGAGTGAATGAGTGAATGGAAGGCCTCTCTCTCTGTCTCTACCTCTCTCTGAAACTCTTTTAAATAAAATAAAATAAAATAAAATAAAATACCTCTTTATAAAAAAAGAAAAAGAAAATGGCAAACATGGCAAACAGCTGGTACACAGTAATCACTATCCCCTAAATATGGTTTATATAACCCACCCAAATCCGTGCTTATAAACACATTGAAAAATGAAAAAACTTCCAAAGAAATAAACTATTTATCAATCACTTATTCAAGCAGTAGTTTCCTTACCTCTTGTTTAAAAAGAAAAGCATCTCTGTAATGTGAATATTCACAATAATAGCCTGTGAGTTTTTAGTTCTGTCCTGACATAAAACATTTATCTGATTTTGGGACTTATAAGGCATATAAATTCCCTCACTGGTGGGTGGGAACACATAGCAGTTTCCTAATATAAACAACAACAAATTTCATGCATTTTAAATTATATAGTTTAATTTAAAAAAATAGCTTTAATTTATACTAATTATATAAACTTACAACAATTCGTTAAAATTCTAAAGCCGCACAAATCAAGAGTTCTAAGAGTTTGAATTTCAAGAATAAATCACTTACCAACTCACGTCGTTTATCATCATCAGTAGCCTCATCTGTTAATTGTGCAAAAACTTCAGACAAGAACTTTTCATCTTCCTGCACAAGAAATAACTACTATGAAATATTATTTAAGGTATAAAGTTAAATTTATTTACATGATTTGTAAAGATTAGTAGCTGAAAACCCAATAGCATTATCACAAAACCTAAAATTCCAGGTTTATGCTATAATTTTATAAAATTTGATTGTCCCATTCAATCCTAGTTTGACTATATATATATATATATACATATATATATATATAAAATCTACTTTAATTAGAAATATCAGTACAAAGACCTCTTTGGAAAACAAAAATAGATGTTTTAGAGGTGTTGCATTTAAAGGATTCATTTGACAACCTCTGTAGCCCTTCTGCAGGGTCTATATCCAGTTGTGTGTGTGTGTGTGTGTTTTTTTTTTTTTTTTAACGTATTTATTTATTTGAAAGGCAGAGTTATGGGGGCTGGGAGAAAGACAGAGAAGTATCTTCCATCTACTGCAAATGGCTGCAAAGGCTGGGGCTGGTCTGGTTTGAAGCCAGAAGCAGGACCGCCTTCTGGGTCTCCCACATGGGAGCTGGGGCCCAAGCAGTTGGGCCATCCTCTGCTGCTTTCCCAGGTATATTAGCAGGGAGCTGGATTGGAAGTGAAGCAGCCAGGACTCAAACCGGCACCCAGATGGGATGCTGGCACTGCAGGAGGTGGCTTTACCTACTATGCACAACACTGGCTGCTATATCCAGTCTGTATCTACTGAAACAAGTTTGAGGATCTCCCTCAATTAGAAAATCAAGAATAACAAGACAGCAGTAAATAAAGTTGAATTTTAGCAGCCCGTTAAGTTTACAAAGCCACTTAACTCATGAAGAACTGGCATTGTGGTGTAGCAGGTAAAACTGCTGGGCACTGGTTCAAGTCCTAGCTGTTCTCCTTCCACAAACTCTGTGCTAATGGCCTGGGAAAGCGGTGGAAGATGGCTCAAGTCCTTGGGCCCCTGCGCTCGTATGGGAGACCTGGAAGAAGCTCCTGGCTCCTGGCTTCGGATTGGCGCAACTCCGGCCACTGCAGCCAATTGGGGAGTGAACCAGTGGATTGAAGACCTCTCTCTCTCTCTACCTCTCCTCTCTCTGTGTAGCTCTTTCAAATAAACAAATAAATCTTTAAAAGCAAACAAATAAATAAATCCTTAAAAAATAGTACAAAAAAACAGAAGAACTCATGATCTATAGTAGCACATGGCCAACTGGGGTAGTCTTAACATGTTCTTGTGGTACATAAATGATAACTGCTTTTCACTCTGACGACCCTACGATTTTTTTATTTTATTTTTATTTTTTTGGACAGGCAGAGTTAGAGAGAGACAGAGAGAAAGGTCTTCCTTTTTCCATCGGTTCACCCTCCAAGTGGCCGCTGTAGCCCGCGTGTTGCGCCGATCCGAAGCCAGGAGCCAGGAGCTTCTCCTGGTCTCCCATGGGGTGCAGGGCCCAAGGACTTGGGCCATCCTCCACTGCACTCCTGGGCCACAGCAGAGAGCTGGACTGGAAGAGGAGCAACCGGGACAGAATCTGGGCCCCAACCGGCCTCACGGACTCCTTTTGAAACTGGCATTGTGGTCTGAATGATACACCTTCTCAGTATATTAAAATGTGTATGTAATCTTTGGGCTGGCACCGTGGCTCACTAGGCTAATCCTCTGCCTGCGGCGCCAGCACCTCGGGTTCTAGTCCCGGTTGCTCCTCTTCCAGTCCAGCTCTTGCTGTGGCCTGGGAAGGCAGTGGAGGATGGCCCAAGTGCTTGGGCCCTGCACCCACATGGGAGACCAGGAGAAAGCACCTGGCTCCTAGCTTCAGATCAGCGCAACGTGCCTGCCGTAGCGGCCATTTGGGGTGTGAACCAATGGAAGGAAGACCTTTCTCTCTGTCTCTCTCTCTCACTGTCTAACTCTGCCTGTCAAAAAAAAAAAAAAAAAAAAAACAAACAAAAACAAAAAAAACCAAAAAAAAACCACACACACACACAAAAAAACAAAACAAAAACTTGTTCTGGTAAATTGTTAACTCAATCAAATTATATATGACTGTTTTTCTGGATAACACAACAAAATCTCATGGGGAAAAGGACTGCTCCCAAAGAGTCTAAATTAGGGGTGGGTATTGTGGTGTACAAGGTTAAACTGCTGCCTGCCAGAATGGCATTCCATAAGGTTGTACATATGTTTTATGTCCCAGCTGCTTTATTTCCAATCCAGCTCCCAGCTAATGAGCCTGAGGAAGCAGAATATGGCCCAAGTACTTGGGCTTCTGCCACCCATGTGGGATTCTTAGATGGAGTTCCAGGCTTCAGACTTTGGCCTGGCCCAGCCTGGGCAGTTGTGGCCATCTGGGGAGTGAACCAATGGATGGAAGATCTCTCCTTCTGTGTATCTCCTTCTCTGTCAGTAATTCTGCATTCCAAATAAACAAATCTTCGGGGCCAGTGCTGTGCTGTGGAAGATTAAGCCTCCGCCCCAAAAAGAAGAAGAAAAAAAAAACCTCTCTGCATGTAGCACAAGCATCCCATATGGGAGTCCTGGCTGCTCTACTTCTCATCCAGCTCCCTGCTAATACGCCTGGGAAAGCTGAAGAAGATGGCCCAAGTCCTAGGGCTTCTGCATCCACGTGGGAGACCCAGATGAAGCTCTTGGCTCCTGGCTTTGGCCTTACCCAGAACTGCCTGTTGTGTTCACTTGGGGAGTGCACCAATGGATGGAAGAACTCTTTCTCTCCCACCCTTTCTATCTCTGCATTTCAAATAAATAAATAAATCTTTTAAAAAATTTAAAAAAAAAAGTCTAAGTCAAACTTTTCTTTGCAATAAGTGAAAACAGGCAAAACAAAAAACCCACAAAACATTTTTTAGAATGATATAAACACGGAAATTTAGAATTAGACCAAGTTTTATAACAGGACAAAGACTGCTTAGGTCAATTTTAAATTTCAAGAAATTGGGGCAGTGCTGTGGCATAGTGAAAAGCTGCCACCGTGTGGGTGCTGGTTCAAGTCCTGGCTGCTCCATTTCCCATCCAGCTTCCTGCTGATGTACCTGGGAAAGCGGCAGAGGACAGCCCAAGTGGTTGGGACACTGCACCTGTGTGGAACACCAGGAAGAGGCTCTGGGCACCTGGCTTTGGCCTGGCCTAGCCCTGGCCATTGCAGACATCTGGCAAGCAAATCAGAGGATAGATCTCTCTGTGTAATTCTTTCAAATAAATAAATTAATTAAAAAAATTTTTTTTCAAGAAACTGAGGTCCAAAGAGTGGACTTATCTGAAGTCAGCTAGTGACAGACATAGATTTAGAATATAAATCTCCCTAAGGATGAAGTTTTCATCATTCTACCACATAAAACTAGAGAATAAGTTCCCAACATGTTCAAACTTATGTACTGTACTCAAGCAAAATACTCACATACCAAGCTGGAATGGGCCAAACCTAGCTAAGATAAAACTTGGAATGTTAAATTCTATACTAAGTTCAAAAATATCCCTAAGAAAGAAAAGGAAGGAGCATATCACTGCAAATAGTTTTTTTTTCCCCCCTAAGATTTATGTAGAGGACCTAGTGTTGTGACATAGACAGTTAAGCCACTGCCTGTGAGGCTGGCATCCCATATGGGTGCTGCTTCAAGACCTGGCTGCTCCACTTTGGATCCAGGTCCCTGCTAATGCACCTGGGAAAGGAGCAGAAGATGGTTCAAGTGCTTGGGCCCCTTGACCCACATGGGAGATCTGGAAGAAGCTCCAGGCTCCAGCCTGGCCCAGTCCCACCTGTTTTGGTCATTTGGGTAGTGATCTGGTGCATGGAAGATCTCTCTCTCTCTCTCTCTCTCTCTCTCTCTCTCTGTTTCTCAAATAAATCATTAAAGAAGATTTATTTAGAAACTCAGAGTTAAAGAGAGAGAGAGGCAGAGAAAGAACTTCCATCCACTGTTGGGGACAGTATACCTGCTAACCTAGAGGGAAAAAAAAGAGGGCACTTTTCTCTCTCCTTGAACATCTGGCACTGGCGTCCTGTAACTAGCTAAGAGTGGGTGGGCGCCATTTGACATACGTAACAGCTGTGCCAACTTGTGTTGATGCCCAGCAACCAGCTGAGAGGAGATCCCAGAGTCTGGCTGGGATAATGGACAGGGCGTTGGGTGCTCCTGTGGGAGCCTTATGTGCTGGAACTGTGAAAACACTGTGGCTATTAGGGGAAGGGCACATGGTGTGGCTGGCTCATTGGGCAATTACTTGTGGGGGGCTCCACATGCTTGGGGCTCGCTGATTCCCTGGTGAGGCTCACTGCTATGGATCCGTACTCAGACCAACGACTGCACGGATCCTTTGTGTGGTTCTCATGGCAGCATGGATGAATACTGTACCCACTAGAGTTAGCACCCAGGCACTGGACTCTCTTAAGGAGAACAGGTAAGCATCAGACTATGGCAACAGAGCAGAAAAAACCTCCCCTCTGATTTAAAAATAAAGAAAGATTTACCACTCCCAACTTGGGTGTCATCTTGGATACTCCTCTCACCCTGGAGCACTGAACAGAGCTCCCTGGCTACAGTCAGTATACGCCACAGGATATTTACTGAAAGAGCAGACACTCCACTAATCCACAGAGCCGTAGTCCAAAGATAAAAGCCATCACAGGGAAAAAAAATAAGTCAACAAGTATCTCCACAAACACCTAAAAATAAATGCAGCAATCCAAGAAACAAGAATAAGAAAGACAACATGATACCCCCAAAGGAACAAAACACCACTTCAATACTAGAATGTGAAAATGAAGATATTGCAGAAATGTCAGAAATGAACAAAAATTGATTGTAGTATTACTTAGAAGTTAATCAGAAGCAAATCCACGAACTAACGAAATCTGTACATGACATGAAAGAAAATTTTCTCAGGAAAATGAGATTTAAAAAAAATTTTTTTTTTTTTTTGGAAAGGCAAAGTTAGAGACAGGCAGGGAGAGAGAGAGTGAGCAAGCGAGAAGTCTTCCATCCGCTGGTTCACTCCCCAGATGGCCA